GCCATAGAAGAGCACCAGCATACAAAGAGAGATATTGTCAACGTCTCTCACTATTTCTGGGGAGATAGAAACCCCTTTGATTATAATGAGCAGGAAGTGTCTTCCTCTTCTATATATAATGACCCTCTCTATACCACGCAGATGAATCTTCCGTTCTCTAATTTCGTGGCCGCAAGCATCCACCGTGAGAACCGTCTTCGTATGCTCGCGGGACGAAGAGGACGTAGAGAAAAGACTACTCGGCGAAGCAGGAGAGGAGCTCCGCGACGTCGCGCACGTGACGAGATCATAAGCGAGGACGAGGAGGAGAGGCCGGGTGTGCATCCAAGAGGTGAAAAGAGCGATGCTTCGTCATCTTCTGAAATGTCACCGAAACGGATCGACGTCGGCAGTCGCGCATCACCCGCCAGTAGTACGTCATCATCGAAGAACGCAGGGAACGCAGCTTCTGTAAGTGGGGGCCACAACAAGGGCACGACCCGCACCCTTTTACCAATATCAGAAGAGCACTTTCCAGGGACGGCAAGAGGGCACAAAGAAGTAGACCACGAGAGTCTTCCTCTAGAACTCGTGCCTGTCAACGAAAAATCCCTCTGTGCTTCTAGCAGTTTGCAGCTTTCGGACGCAAAAGACGACAAAAAGCCTCCACCTGCTCCGCTGGGACCCTTGTCGCAGTACTTGGCCATTTCACCCGACGACTCCTACTTCCGCAAACGGAACACTCCATCGCCAGCTGACGGCCCTGGCAGCATTAAGGGGTGGAAGTTGATGACCTCTTTATGAGCATCTCTATGGCCCTTTCAAGTAGGAAGAGTCCATAGATACGCGAGCTAGAGAGGTCGACTCTCAACCCCTAATAGCAGTGGCCGTCGGAGTAGGGGAGGCAGTGGACGAGCGAGTAAGGAGGTCCGGGTCGTCGTCAAGCGTGCAACTCTGCAGCGGAGGAACAAGGCAAAAACTCCTGATGATATTAAGGCTTCAGGTAATCCATGCCTAGAAGCATCTACTTGGGACCTTTCTCTCTAAGGGTGGAAAAACAGAGAACCCAAGATGACTTTCAAGATGGATTCCGGGGAGGTCTAATGATACGGCCCATTCTGCGGACAGAACAAAGGACGCAGGGACAGCTCATGGCTTTGCTGATCAAAACGACGCAACGGACGGTGGGCGCAACACGGATCTTCGAGAACAAGGACGCTCTTCAAAGAAATCGGAGGGGAGCAGTACCGGTAAAACATCAAGGAAAGCAGCACGACGGCGTTATCATGATGATAGTGACTTGTCACCACGCTCAGGCCCAAGCGCTTATAATTCAGAGGACGAAGAAGAAGATTCGTCCGGAGACACATGCTCAGAGTCGGACGATGACGATGCAGAGGAAGGTACTGCCACGGGCAGTTCACGGAGCACTTCCCCTTCATCGCGGAGCAACGAGAGCGGCGAAGACTCGAGAAGTAGTAACAACGAGTCGCCGGATCATAGATTACGGCTCATGATTTAATTCAAATTTTCCAAGGTCCTTGATTTGTCACTCTGCTTCCTTCTGCTTCTTGTTTTTACCTAGCATTCTTCGGCAATCAAGAAATTGATTATTTTGAGCTCTAAATCGGAGCAGTAGTTGCAAGGAACCTGGCCTTGACGAACCGAAACCCGTATCAGACGGGCGAGAGCTGATGACCTTCAAGCGTGACGTGAAAGTGATCGACCTCCTCGCAGATCTGAGTAGTTTTGACATTTCTCGCGTGCTCAAACCCTTGTGGCCGCCAGAGCAGTCTCCAGGTGGTAATGGTGGATCGAATGTAGAAGCAGCACTGACGGTAGATCCTAAAGTAAGCCACGATCTTTTTGAGCAAAAGAACTATCTTGTGGGCTCTGTTGACAACAAGCAGGCTCGGGTCGAACTGGACGTCGCGTCTGCAACGACCCACACAGTTGAGTTGAGCAAAGCGTCAGGTGAGCAGGAGCAGGACATCAAACTTCCTGGTACTCCCACACAAGAGAGTAAAAGCAGGTTCACTGTGCAAGGAATGGTAACGGAGTTTTTACGGAGCACGCCGATTTGTAGCAGTCTTTTGCATCAGGTCGACCATAAATTGGATGAGGCCTACTATCTCGCACAAGGTCGCCCGTTGATGGCGTATCACATCCATCAGGAGGGTTTGCGCCGCAGTAGTTCAGGTTCTTCTAGAGGCAGCACACCTCTTGGCGGAACAGCACTACGAGGTAGAAGCAATAGAGGAGATAGACGAGGTAGGATGAGACAACAGTCTAAAAAAGCTGAATCAGGCAGCAGCAGCCGGAGCATACTGGCCGCAAGAGGCGGCGCGGCAACCGCTGGTAGGACACTAGCGAGCGAACTGCACGATGAAGACGCTGTCACTCTAGCTAGTGCGCACGACGCTCTGTCCGAAGATGCGAGTGACGACGACTCCCACGACGAAATAGAGTCAAACTCATCCATCTCGGACGAGGAAACTGCGGCACTCGGCGGAGAAACAGCAGACGCGGGCCCCTTAGCAGCAAAGGGGGTCATTATGAAGCCCACTCTCAGTCTCACTCCTCCTTACTTACCTTCTGAGTAGCCATTTTCGCCCACAGTTCTCTCATTTTCACCGTTTTCACTGCGCTCCCCGTTGAGCCAAGCGGAAAGTGGAAAGCCTTCGGACCCCAACCTCTACAACCTTCAGGCGCGATGGCCTCTGCGCGGTAGCCCTACCCCTAGCGCCGCCAAGCTGTAGAAACAAACCCACAAACGGCTGAGCCACTCGGCATGGCTGTACGTGTAACGACGCTCGCAGCCCACAGTTACAAAGTTAGCTTTTCGGGCAGTTAACTTCCTCGCGCAGGCCATCCAGGCGCATAGAAGTAAGGCCCTCAGTTCGCCGATGCTCCCAGTGCGGCCGCGCTGCCGTCGGCCAGAAAGATGGCGAAACAAAAGGAGCCCCGGGGCGCATTCTGTTCGGCTCCGTAATGATGCACGCGGGGCAGAAGCTTACTTCGGGCCTTGCCAATGCGCGGGCTGTGTAACGATTTGAAGCCGCGCCCTTTTGCTGTCCCTCTTTTGAACTTGGCGGCCCAGCCACTTCCAGCGGGGTCAAGAGTGCCCCGGCGCAGCAGGCAAATAGCGACCGCTTTGATCTGGGCACGCGGGGCGCCCCGCTTGTAATGCGGATTTAGCGCAGAAGCGCGACTTCGGCTGTCAAGCTGAGCCGGTCGACATGCTCCAGTCGTCCCTAAGCACAGCAATACGCCCATCGCCAACTATCAGAACAAAAGCGAAAACATTATCAACCCGCATTCAATTGGTGGCGGCAGTAATCGCGCAGGCCGTTAACTCTAGCGAAGCGGGCTATGGATGGGCCCACGCCGGTGATGAAATTACTGCAGAACGCTTGGACTGCGATCGTAGTCGCGCCGCTTCAGAACACTCCCCGCGGGTTTAGCACTGGGCGCCGTACTTAAGTGGTGCCACCAGCCCAAGGGAATCCGCGCACTTTGTTGGCTGCTAATTTTTCTCATTTCTGCGCCCTGACACAACGCAACGACGACGGAGGGAGCAGCGCAGGGCAACGCCATGGGGGGAAAAAAACGCCCAACGCCTAGGACTGGGGAGAGCTACGAAGGCGAAGGAGGCCAGCTATTGCGGTGCTTCGGATCGATACAGAGGCAGCGCCCACTACTTTCGTTGGCTGGGTATTTTCTCTTGCCGAATCTCGCGCGAGGTGCCTGGGTCCAAGCAAGTCTTTGCGCTGGGGCACGGACTGGCGCACTGACTGACTCAAGGCCGACGAGGTGGCCAACCACAGGGCATGGATCACGGCCGGAGGGCCTGAACGCTCCCACCGTTTTGGGCGAGAGGTGCCCGCGGAAGGCCTCGAAGCTGCGCGCGCTGAGGCTTGGCCGCGCTGGCTCTGGCGAAGGACTTGGAGAGAAACCAGATGAGGGGCAGCAAGAGCATGAGAAGGCTGGCGCGGGCGCTGCTTCCGTGCCAGTGTCCCTATGGCCCCTCTGGTTTGTGTCTTCTAGTAGTTGCGTTGTCTGCGAAGTCATTTGCATCGCGTTGGCCAGCCGCCCACGCCGTGGCCAGCTGTGTTGCGAGTTTGCCAGCTATACCTATGCGTGTGCTGGCTTGATACTAATAATAGAGGGGCCGCCTTGGGTTTTCTTTTTTTGTATCTTGGAGCTGCTAGAAGAGTGGCTTCAGTGTCATCCAGTTCGCAAACTGGGCGCAGGTCACTGAAATGAGCAAACAGGCGCCCCACTTGTATGGGCTGGCTGCGCTGGCTATGCAGGTGGGTGCCACCTCGCCGACTTGGGGGGGCCTTGATACTTTGCCCCGTGCAGCGCATTCAAAAAAGCTGGCGGGGCTTTGCAATTGCAGCTTAGTCGAAGAGCTTGCCGGGCTGGTTCTCTCTGCTCGGTTGGTGTGGTTCTTATGAAATGAGGTGCGTGGCGAGGTGCTGCCCATCGGGCTATTCGCTTCTGGCTGCCAATATTTGGCGAGGTCCATCGGGCGCGGCAGCTTGTTGCATTTGAGTGGATGCCTCCCCTGTCTTTGCAAAGGCTGTCAGACTGAAGCCCCCGCGGGCGACCGATTTCTGGCAGGCACACCCAGCTGGGTGGAGTGTCTGTAGCGCCCCTCCCTTCTTTCCTCGGCGTTGCAACTCTGCCGCATTTGATTTGGCCGCCTACCTTATCTGGGCTTCTTGGATGTTACTTAGCTACTCGGATGCTAGGTAGTTGATATGGGAACCCATCATTGCCACACGTGGAAGCAGCTCCCCCTCAACTCGTTTTTCTCGATCGATTCTCTATCTATTTCTATCAATCTGTATCTTTCACTCCCCATTTCTAAAGAGAGCAAGTCATCTGCCCGAGGCTCACCCTATCGGCGTCGCAAAGAGAGCAAGGGCTTCGTGTCTGTCAGGGCGCGCGGTCGAGGCGACGACGGCCTATCCGATTTTTCCCCGGCTTCCAGCAGTAGCAGTACCGCAAAACGACTACACCGTATAGCAAAGAGCGTGGCATTACATAACCTCCTGCACGAGGGCGTCGTTGCTTCTGCCGTGTGCTTGCTGGAACTTTGCTCATTGGACACGGAAATGCTACGAGTGGATGTCCAGGCAGCGCGTCGTATCTACGACCACATGAGTTCAAAGGAAAAGGACCTTTTTCCCTGCAGCGCCGTCATCGACCTCTTCATATGGCCTAAGTGCTCCTTCAAATGATTACAGAAGTTCAAGTTCTTGAGGTACTTAATATCTTCAGTAAAAAAGAAGAAGCCGAACCTCGCATCGTTTGATCCTAGAGCAGTCATCCGCAAATCTCAACTGTAAATTTGAAGTTCTTAGGCGCATGCTTTCCTCCCACAACAGCGTTGCTCGTTTTTTCTAATTTTTATGTCATTCCCCGAGAACCGAAGACGGAACACCGAGCAAGCCATGGGTAGTCCTGCGTTGTTGACCTCGTTGCGCATGCTGGAGGAAGCGACGTGGGCACTCGATCCACACCCTGCTTCCAGCGCCACCGCCGCCGCAGCCCAAAGCTCCGCTGCTGCGAGCACTTACGACTCGCCATGGCACCTTGTCTTAAGACCGACCTCTACTACAAACACGCAAGAAAGGCTCTTCTACTAGGATGTCAATCATCTCTTTCGACGAAAGTATGGATTGTATAGGGTTCGTCCCCCTCGTAACACGCTTCTAATGTTCGCGCTTTTCTGCCGTGTGCACGCGCTCCCACGGTCTCTGACCTTGTTGCACGAACTGGCGCGCAGCAATGACTGGGTCATGTTTTTACATGAGAGCGATCTACAAGAATGTCCGCCAGAAACTGTACTCGACGTGATCGACGGCTATTTCACTGACCTGCCCCTCCAGAGCCACCTGCGGATCAACGTTAGCAGCATGATTCATCAAGACAGAACTACTGGCACTTCTCTGGGTGCAGGAGCTGGATCAAACAACATGAACATTAGCTTCGTGAACCCAAATACAAACTTTAACAATAGTACACATCCTAGGGGCGGAGGAGGTGCAATTGTGAAAAATGATCACAAGGCAGGTTCGAAAACGGGTTTTCTGGTCAAATCATCGAGCATTGGAGAGGCCTATGACACTTCTTCCGGCACTGATGGGGGAGATACGGACTACAGTAGCGCAACCAAGCATTCCACGACGAGGCCCGACGCTGTGTTTTTGGATTTCAGCAACGTAAACATCGACTCCCCCGGAGCACTCGGGCTGTTCTTAGCGCACCCTGCGGTGTGGCAGCAGTTTCTTGCAGCAGGTGGTCACAAGATGGTGCAGAATGGTACCTCCCGAGCAATGGGAATAAGCGAGCAGCGCGACTTGCTTCCCCGTCAGGTAGGAGAGCAGCTCCTGATGCACGCAGTGCGGACTTCCACTGCACGCCTCGCTGTCATATTAAGGATTACATCAAGTTGGCCTCTCTATTAACTCTATGATCTGATGTCGGAGGTCTATTCCACGAGGAAAAGGCCTAGATAATATGCAAGATCATGGATAGAAGGACAACTTGGAGTTGGATCCCCTAAGGATAGCGTCATGTTTCCCAGATACCAAGAGTGTGCACTGCATTTCAGTCTGGCTCTTCGTAAGTACCCGTGATTTTTCAACATCAAACACAACGAAGTCTTCTTCATCAAAAAATGGTGCTCCTCGTCGACTGGGTACTAGCGAACAAGAGCGGCACAGATACGCCGCATCAGATCATCGAAGATCCTCAAATAATGCTCCTGGGGGGCCACAACATGGACACCACCTCCACGCCACCCAACAAGGTGGTTCATTCGGTCACCATGGACGCGCATTTGTCACCCGAGGAGACGCGAGCGGGGGACACGCATTTGCTTTTGCCGGTGACCGGAGGAATGATCATCCTCGTATGTTGAACCAACAGCAAGAACATCATAATCACTCATCCTCGGCAACAGATGGCGAAATGTCTGAGCCCTGGCGTTGGACCTCGGCAGACCTCGCAGACTACTTTTTTGCCCTCTGCCAGAGCAAGCTGTTTGGACCGATACTTCGGAGTCTAGAAATTTTCGACCCAAGTTGTCCACTCTTAGTTATGGTCAGGAGCTTTTATCCAGCCTTCTCAGCATCTCTTCGGTACCCTTTTGCAGCTTCCATAAAAGCATACAAGGGCAAAGTGGTCGAGATGAGAGGACTTCCCGAGTAGATGAATAGGCGCTCCCAGACGCTGCCTCTAACTTAGACTTCGTGCGTTTCACGCAGGCCTTTTCGCTGTCACGCTTCCAGAACGCACAAAGGCATCTCTGCAAATACATGCAGCTGATGCGAGACGCCGCGAACAATAGCACAACAACCGTTTCTGGCAGTGGCAGCTCTTCATCAGATTATGAGAAACAAAAGTACACGATCTTTATAGTCTAGGACTAACACTAGCTGCTAGGAAAAATAAGTTGTCAGATAAATTGTGGTGGAGCCGACCTAACTAGAAAAAAGACAGACCAGAGGAAGATATAAAAGAGAAAAGGGTAACTATCACCAAGTATCCTAAAGTATCCTGCTAACTGCTAAAACTAACTAAGCGCCATAAGCTAACTAACTAATAAGTTGTCATATAAATGCAAAACGAAAGTTTTCAGTCTGAAAAAAAGTGAGAGACGCCTCAAGAACCTTCTTGTCCTTTATAAAGTTTGATTCCACCTCTACATTTAATCGATTCAGTCTAAGACACCTCAGAACAAGCGAGTTCCAAGTCGACATCTTCGTCAATATTCGAGTACTCGCAAATGTGGGAGCTTTCACAGCACGTGTGCGAGTTTCTCCTTGTGGAAACAGAGACTTAAGACAGAGTCTACTTACTTACTTGATGGGGCGGGGAACTTGGAGGGGGTCGCTATGATCAAGGAATCGCAAAGCAACCCCGCTTGCATGAGCCCCCTGAAGTGAGCTCTAAGAGACTGACATGGGACAGCGCGGCCGCTTGTTGTCGATCTTGTCGCACTTTTCGCCTGATTATCAGCTTTCTGATCGGGCTTTTCGCCTCTTAAGTCAGTCCCGGACACGGGACCACATATCATCTCGCTGCGAAGGGGCAGGCGCAGCAGCAGCTGGCGCAGGAGAGAGAAGTGGAGATATTAAGGCTTGGCTCTAGAGGTAGAGGATGCCTTTTGTTGGGAGTGTGTGCTTGTAGACTGTTTTGTAGATGAGGCTGTTTATTTTAGTTAAAGACATTCTCAACGTGGTCATATTGATGAGATTGAGATCGAACAAGTACTAAATGTTTCATTTTACCTCTAATGCAAGGAGAAGCTACTTTGGGAATCCCAGTGCCATCATCAACTTTACTGCCACGCGCGAGAATGACCGAGAGCTCCTTCACCTTTTTATTGCGCGCAAGCTGTTTGAGGAGGCACGAGAATGGGTTCGTTTTAACAAGCAACTCGTCGACGCTGAAGTGAACACCACCTATTACACCAGTAGGCAAGAAGAAGATGTTTTGTTTTCCGGGACTTTCACGGTGACGTCGAGCACTGCGTCCTCGTCCAGGCGCTCAGAGGCAAAGGCGACAGCAGGAACAGACTTTAATAGCCGATGCTGGAATGACTGCCGACCAAAAGTTCATTCCTTTCTAAGCCCCCCCGCTTCAGCTTCTAGTTCTCAGTCTCACCACAACAACATGAAGAGGAACGATAGCGATACATCATCATTACAGTATCTTAGAGGACACTCCCAGTCAACGCATCAAGAGCAGGGTCCGTTCTGTGCTACCAAGAACTCCTTTAATACAAGAAACAACCCAGCACATGAAGATTTTCCACGAGATGAAGCGGAAGCACGTGCCACCACATGGAGATTTTCCAGTGCTCACGCGCACCGTCTCGAGGACTTCGAGAGCCTGATCCTGTATGAGGAACTGCAAGAACGCATTTGCGAGTTCAAACAGGGAGTCTGGTGGGCTGTTCCGAGTGCCCGCCTCGCGTTTTGGTTTGAACTGCGTACCCTTTTTACTCCTCCAACCCAGACGAGCAGCCATATACAGTTACAGGAGTTACGGCTTCCCCCGATGGAATCCATCTTCAGAACAGTCATCCTAGGCGCGAGGCTTTTCAACGGAAAAAGGCTCCCTCCAGGATGGCTCTTGAGACGGATTCGCGAGGCTCTAAGAGAATCTACAACGGCTACAACGTGCAGTGGCAGTCGTACATCTTCAGGTGGTTCTTGTTTTGTACCAGACGCCTCTGCTTGCCAGTTTTTTCTCACATTAGCCGCGGACTTTGAGGATGACATCACCGCACGAGAACAAGCCGTACTGTTGTCCTACGCGGCCGAGTTCCTGCGGCACCGACAGTCTCCTAAAAACTCTAAGGAGAAGAAGAAGACGTTCGCCAGCGCCAATTCACGTTCGCGTACTTCACAGGAGACGTCCTCCGCTTCTGGTGCCACCCTATCTTCAGCGAGTGTGTCAAACAACAGCAGCGACGGGAATGATGAACTACAGCAAACTTCTGGGTCTCGTTCTTCTTGGTGTAACAAGAATCGGGGTCATCTTCATAATGACTTCGGAGTAGAATTTGAAGAAGTAATGTCAAATAGTTCGACACGGGCCAGCGCGATTCTAAGCGATGAACGGTCTTCGTCTAGTTCCTCTACATGCGGAGACAGCAGTTTAGCTCCGACCGCACCAGGCGACTTTACGTCTAACCCTATAGGCACATCTACGAATAGAGCTGAGAAAGAAAACGAGGGCGACTTTACGTCTAACCCTAGAGGCACATCTACGAATAGTGTAGTAGGGGAAGCTGAGTCCAGCAAAGGCAGAAAGATGTCAATTCAGACGGCTATAGAGACTCATCTGCTGTGTGTCCTGACTTACGCGTGTCTAGCAGAACTGCGCGAGAAACATCGCGGCACAGTGAGCCCGCGCCGACAGCGCCGTGCAGGCGACGCACGACGGAGAGCACACCAGAGCTCCGCGGCTGCGGTCAATCTTCAAGTAGGTCTTGGTCTTCAGATTCAGGATAGAGGTAGTACTAATCATGTTGTATGGTTTTGGTATTTGGTAACCTGAATTTGATCACGACACGGATTCTCTTCTTGTTTTCCTTATGATCAAAATCAGGCTATACCAAAAATATCTGAACCATCCACATGTGCTAGATGAGATTGAGAAAGATGAGATGGGTCTCACAGCACTGATGAGGCATATTCTGTCACCTTCGGACTTCAGACCGGAGTCTGTTCGCGCTGTGCTGCCGCACTTAGGAGAGCATACTTTAGCACTCCCGCTCCGCGACTGGATTGCAGCACTCGCAAAACTGGTAGTTGTTTCTGAGGACGCACACGCAGCCGTGGAGGAGGCCTCATCTTCGTCCGCAAATATTAAACAGTTCGCAGTGCGTGCCCTAGTTCCTCCTATGTTCAAAAATTCTGAAGAGAAAAAAGCGAAAAAAGTCTCCTCCTCTTCCGCAAATCTGTATCCACGCCAACTGGAAACAGGCATTGCAACCGCTTTTCAGTTCTTGCTCGAACAAGAGAACACTCTGCGATACGCAACCCGTGTTTCCCAACTTTTTCCACTCTCTGCGGACGAAGCCCAAGTCAACGACGCCTTCTCTCTTGTTCGCTCCATCGGCAACTATAATAATCGCATCGCGCTGGGCGAAGATCAAGATGGATCATCAGGAGAAACTTCTGTTGATAAACAAGTTACAGGAGCCACAAGAACTGCCTCCGGGGGCATACAGCCGGTCGTGGAAAGCATTAAGAGAAGTGACAAAGCAGCATCTACATCAATCCATACAACTGCCCCTGCGGCAACTTCTTCCCTTGCGCCACTAGTGAAACGGCTGACGGTTTTGCAAACTTTGGAAAAGAAGAAAAAACTCCTACCAGGAGGCTCCGACAGCCTTCTCGATGTGGTGGATTTTCTCCTTAGCGAGCCAAGCCCAGATCTCCGCGTATGCAAAGACTTGCTACAGATTCGGCGAGAGTCCTCTGGTCATGGTCATGTATGTAACTCGTCTTCTAGAAGTAGTAGAAGTCCTCCTGCGACTTCCTATGGAGGTCCTCGTGGAGATCATGAGAAGTGTCGTGCTGAAACCCCCAACACCAGTGACGACGTGGAGCAAATGCTTGTCCGCCGTTACATGGCGGCGCACGAAAAACACAATCTTTTTCCTGGAGGACCCAAGAATAGTGTTTATTCTAGCAGCTGGACAAGCACAAAGAACGACCAAAATCCGCAATCTTCTCCTGCTGTATCGGATTTCATCGATTTGGCACCAAATCCTCAACGACTGGGCCAAATCGCCCTTGACATGGCATTGTCTCTCAGTGTGTCCGAACAGGCAAAAGAAAGATTGCAAGCTCTAAGACGACATGTCGACCTGCAAAGCGAACCCCTTTTGAAAATTAAGGCGTACAATAGTTCATCTTAAGAAGCATCGTTGGCCCCTTTTTTAAGGGGAAAACGCGCCAAAGATGCTTTTCAAGATGAATAAAAGTAACCTCTAAGAACAGCTCGTCGTCCTTTAGTAACTGTAGTGGTGCGAGGACAACTATAGATGGAGGACAAGAAGATATCAAATCAACGAGGAGAAGGAAGTCAGTGTCGGATCACGACTTTTCCAGAGAGGTCCAACTCCTGACTTTGGCCTATAGCAGCTTCGTGCGTGCCTGTTCACAGAAGAGTATAAAGCAAGTTCTACGGTTCATTCAGCTGCGAGCCCCGCTCCTGGCGGCACGCAAAAAGCATGCCTTGTTGATAGACCTCCTTTTTGCGATGCCAGAGTGTACTGCTTTGGGCAGTGCCATTTTTCCCCATATTGTCCGAGAGAAAGACGTCCTCCGAGCATTTACAGCGCAATTACACGGTAAGGTCGTGAGCGAAGTAGGACCTCCTGAAAACTATACGGACCATGCTGCAGCAAAAACTAGTACAAGTTTCTTGAAGACCGAGCATGTTCCCTCTTCGACTTATCCTTCTAGTACTCTCGGGAACGCGACCGCACTTCGGACCGGATTTGTCCGGTACTTGCAAGACCATTGTCCGTCTGCTGCTTCAGCTCACGACACGTCTGACGAGCATCTTCACCCTTCAAATGATAGCAAGAAGCACTGTCAAAAGGAGATGAGCAGGACGGAGACATCTTCAATCCCGGTCCATCCTGTGAAGACAAAGAGCAACGGCACTTCTTCTACGGGTCGTTGCAAGAAGTCTACTAGTCTTTACAGATCCACGAGTGCGGTTCATCAGGACACTTCCATTACCCTCGACACTTTAGTTGAGGTTCAATCCGCGCTTGGCCTGGACTCCGAATTGGGCGAACTTCTGGAAGAACGGGCGCTCTCGTTATTGCGCCGCATGCCACCACGATGGGGGGACATGTGTTCCGTCGACAAGGAGGAGAAGCTTCTCACTGTGCTGAACCTTCTCCTCCAAGCGGCGCGCGCCTTCCAGCGCTGTCAAATTACGGCTGTAAGTACCTATTAAATACAAAAGATCTTTGGACGCATCCTTGATGAAATGTATGGAGGACGAGGAGTATCCTCAGGGAAGAAGTACTCTCCCATTTATACTTTTGAAGGATGCACTTGCAGGACGGATAATTACGGACAGCTCTAACCAAAGACACACGCGACATCTGCGATGTATACAGACGGGAAGTCTAGTGTCCTTGCAGTTGAAAGGCATACAGGTGCATTTAGCCGCTGCGCTTGCTGATCTCGGAAATGCTGAGGAGGAACGTGCCGAGGCCTCTTTGAGGGCTAAAATTCGTGAGAACATCGCAAACCACGCAGAGAAAAGTCGTGGAACAAAGTCAAAGGTAGTGGGAATAGCAACAAACCACGCAGAGAAAAGTCGTGGAAGAGCAGCAAGCTCAAGCAGAGAAAACAGTGCATGTGCAACGAGGCAGTATAGAGAAGACGCTGCTGCTGCTGACGTGCAAGGAGAAGGACAAAGTCTCAAGATGATATCAAAACCCAACCCTACCAGTATGGATGATGTCCTAAAACCACGAAAGCGAACGCTGGACAGCGACATTGACGACATATTCTATCCGCGGGAAAGACGGGCGTGGGAACCAGTGGAGGTACAACGAGTTGAGAAGAAAGACTCTTTTAGCTCGCATCGCGACCCACCGAATGATAGTACCTTAAGGCTACCGCTGGACCATCCTCAACATCATCCTTGGCCCTTTTTTCAAGGAGAAAAAGGGACCAGGGAGGTTCTCGGGAATGCGAGCGCGGTAGCTCTAAGTACCGGGGAAATCAATGGAGCAGGTAGTGGAAATACGGACATAGTAGACGCGCATCCAACCACAATAGATAAAGTAAACGATAGCTTGTCCTGGAGACCTCAGACCGAGATGAACGCTCGTCCACATGAGGATGGAAGCTTACTTCGAAGAGGTGGAGATGTCACACTGGAAGGTAAGAAAACAAGCGACCTTAGTGTTAGTACACACCTCCTTGAAGATGATCGTAGCAATTATGCGTTTGCAGCAAAATCGGAAAGTAAGAGCTCCTTTGGTGCGCCCCGTCACAATCCGCTAAGCCCAGAAATGCTGCTAGAACATGAGGACGATGAGCCAGAGGCGGACTCGTCGAAAACGGCAGAAGGCTTATGTCATCTATTATAGGGATCGCACAATCACAGAAAACATTTGTATCTTTCCATCAGTCTCAGTGTACCCTTGTAGTTGTAATTGTCTCGGTAGTAGTACTGCTGCCCACATATTTCTAAGAACGACGGACAGGAGAGGGTCTGAGGGAGAGAAGATAACAAAGGTTGGCGACGACGACACACGCAACTCGCAGATACGGCACAAGAACGAAGCAACTGGGTCTTCACATCTACTGTCGTGTATGGAGCAGCTACTAGAAGATGAAAAAGTACGTCAGGCATCCTACACTAGGTCCGCTGCACGCATCCAGCTGGCAAAGCTTGGCCCGCCCGCCGACGTAGATCCGTTCCTAATCGTGAATCTAACTCGAAAGGAACTAAAAATGTTTGTCGAATTTCACTGCGACTTTCTGTGTGCGCACGCTGTCGTTCTTGCATATGACGCCATGAGCTCTGGACAACGACAACGACACCCGGGGAGGTTGATGTTGCAGAATAAACCAGCTGCTACTAGATCGTCGAAGAAGAAAACTACAATGTCTACCGAGACTTCTCCCAAGAAAACTACAATGTCACTGCCCTCCTCGACTTCTCCCAAGAAAACTACAGTCTCCTCCTCGACTTCTCCTAAGAAAAATAGAAAAGGTACGGCAGCGAAGCGTCTCGACGCTCCTGAGTTGTGGGGCCGTTCGCTGTATCGACAGGTTATTGTGAATCGCAACATTGCGTATTTGGCTTTTTACCTGGAGCATAGGGCCATGTGCAGCCGAACCGTGCGTGCGTGTCTCCGGCACTACGAAAAGAGCCGCACTAGTACTTCTGCCGGAACTACTGCGGGAAAATTACGGCTCGCAATAATTCATCTCAAGAATCATCTTTGACCCCCTTTTTTTGTTCGTCAAAGATTCATTCGTCCAAGGTGAATGGTGGTGAGGTCTAAGACCAAAAGTTAAAGACCTGCACAACAAGGACCCGCACCGAGAGGGCGTCACACTTTTCCTGCGGCTGGCGGTTCCGAATCTCGAGCACCGGTTGGCGTATGCGCGTGCTCTTCGCATCGAGACAATTACTCAAGAAACCCGGAGGCTGGTCTATGACTTCAACTAAGAAGTACGTAGTAGAGGCAAGACTGCGTTTGGTGCTGCAACTGGGAAGACATCATGGCCTCCATACACTGCCAGAAACGCTGTAGTTTCTCACGTGGCTGAAGCAACTCAGTTAAAATAAATACTTTTGTACTTTTATTTTACTCAATTATTGAATAAATAATCAAATACGGAAGAAATCATACGATCGTCTTTGTCTTGACGAATCAAGCACAAGTTTGTTACTTGTGACAACATGTATAGAAGACATTCTGTACCACGCAACAATTTTTCACATTCATGTGTCATCTGATCCCCCTATCGTGTATAATCGTTCACTGGAAATCCGTTACAACCTTATTTTCAAGAAAGACTTATGAGTAATCGTGATGGCATATGTAGGTAGATATTTCGTACTTGTTGTTCTGCCACGACATAGTCATGAGAAAAATGAAGGAACAACAACTACAGGTGTATACAAACAACCTAGACTACATTTTGCTCCTCGATATGTACTATGGAAACAACTAACACTGCTCATCTACGAGGGAAAGAACATAACAACTCTATGGATTAGCTACCTTATCAACGACCTCGAAGATGCGACCATTGTGAAACAAGACGTGTCGAAGCATTAGATGTGAACCTCCAGATATGAAAATGTGAAGGTGAATTCTCAGAGAATTGATTCGAGAACCAGCAAAGACGAGGCATCTCGTTGAAAAAAGACAGCATGTTTAGTCAGTCGTGGTCAGTAGAGGCAGCAGGCTACGCCAAAATTTGGGCTTCGGTCCGTAAACTGGTTAAAAAGAGTGTTCGACAAGTTGGAAGGCTTTCTATCACCAGTATACTCACTGCGTCTGCCTCGTATACTCACTGCGTCTGCCTCGTATACTCACTGCGTCTGCCTGACCGCAAGCCCTTTTTCCTCTCTGACCAATACCGGGCCCTGCTGATCGCCAAAACTTATTCGTGGTACCTACGTTATTACTCTCAGAATGCCGCGCCCAAATCCTGCTTACCTAGAGAAACAAAATCCTCTTGCATCAACTTCAGACCTACTGCTCTCTGGGTCGGTCACGTCAGAGAATGCGAACACGCTTGCTGCTGCCACACTCGGATGTGGGCTATCGCCAGCCAGTCTTTTGTTGACCACTTTCTTCGACCTTTCAGAATCGCGCAAACTCACGAATAAAATGAAACCAGAGTTTTTACCATCAGTCCTAACAGAATAAATGCTAGATCTCGGAATGGAAAATTTCTAGGCGACGGCGATGCCATCGTTGCTGCAAAAACTGTCCTACAAACTTCTTTGAGTCTGCCGCAGTGTCCGCGTTCTCGATCGCCTTCTCAGAAGACCTGGATTTTCCTCACGTCTTCTCTCTACCTACAAGCAGATGCTTGCGCGAAAGAGTATATATAAGTTATAATTGAACCAGACTTGACCTTGAAATGTCAATGTTAATGTTTGTTGCCGTTACAATGATTCGGGTTATAATTTGAGCAGAATTTTTACCTGGATAACATCCCTGGATTTCATCATTTCATGAACCATCCCTGCGAACCCTAACCACGGGCGCACAGGCACCAATAACCGGGTTGCTTGACGCCATTCGTCCCATAGAAAGTACTAAAAATCTACACTAAAACTCACTGCAAATGACTGGCTGCCGCTAGTCGGGGCAGCCATGTTTTCGCCCCTCTGAGTCCAACAACTGCGCAAAAAAATTCATTTTCATGGTCGATTACGAAATCGAAAAGACTGACTCACATTCATAATGCGATGTGACAAACCTACCTCTTCCTCTCCAAAACTGACCTTCCTTTTTTTAACACAGACACAGTAAATTTTTGCGAAGATAACTACATGATACGTTTGTAGAATCGCTCAGTAGTGGGTATAGCTTTCTAGCGAAGTATGGAAATATCTCATATGTATTTCCGTCCCCCCTGACTTGAATAAAGATGGTCTCAACGTATCATGTAATATGCGCCTCACGCGAATCCTTCGTGCGCTCACCCTTCCTCAGGGTACATCCGTGAAAGTTGAGTGTGGAAGCAGTAACCCAAGCGCTTTGTTGGCTGTTCGTAACTGCTGGATAAAACGCTGAGGCCTGCAGAGAGATCAGCGATACAACAACAGAGCATTATAAAAAGTGAACGAGTCAATCATCTCGATTCCAACAAAATCTCCTCATCCTCCTCAGAAACCAAAATCTCCTGATCCTCCTCACAAACCAAAACTTCCCCACACCCTTCCTCAGAAACCAAAATCTCCTGATCCTCCTCACAAACCAAAACTTCCCCACATTTTCTTGACTTGGTCCTGCGCGATGAGCGTGATCATCGCGTGTGGCGCAATTCGGAAGTAGTAGGTCGGAAATCCAGCGTAGAACCGCAAGGGACCACCTTCCTTCAGCATTTTCGAAATTAGAAAAAAAAAGAGGTCAGTACTCTATTAATTGTGTGAAGTACTAGAAGGACTCAACAGTACTCTAAATTTAGCAGTGCCTCAATTCCAAATATTATCACGACTACCTTGGTGAAAGATTGCTATCTTGAAAGTAGGTTGAGGATGATGTTAGCCTTTTTGAGGATGATGTGATCTGCCGATTCGCATTTGCCACACAACGACTTCCCTGAATCTTCTTTGCTAGGTACAACTAACTGGGTTTCTTTCTGTCGATATTTTTACTTTACAGTACACGAAGGAGTGGGCCATAACAGTGCGCAGTCCACCGATCCTGTGTAGGGCATCTTGCCGTCTGGCCCCGGTTTCATTTTCTGGATCTGTGTCTTCACGAAATCTGTGGAGGGGAGAGAAAGGTATCTGTATGTTGTCAATTTGTATGATGTTGTCAATTTGTATGATGTTGCCCTTGATGACGTCCAACGAACCCATGCTAATATGTATCTCATCCTATCCTGTCGATGTAGAGGCACTCTAATATCCTATCCTATAAGCTCATCTTCTCGTCTAGTAATCTAGTACTGCATGAAAAGTATCCAAATTAATTACCAAACGGAAGTGAGAATGCAGAAGCGAAAAAGCCTGCGATTGCGCTCGCGCCAAAGATGCATCCTGCCGACGACTTGTCGAGGCTGCGGTTAGAGCGCCAAACTTCTAATGCCAAGAAGAGTTAAAAACATTCTAGAAGTGTTGGAACCGAGGTGACTCGTTCGCTTTTTATAATGCTCTGTTGTTGTATCGCTGATCTCCCTCTAGAAGTTTTACATAAATAACACACGTTCCGCTGAGAGCAGTTAGACACCATAACAAACGTTCCGCTGAGTACCTCCTTTGCCTTTGTGTTGCCTCCCAACATACCCAAGTTCAAAGCCATGGCACGCACCGACGTTGGCGCGGCTCCCTTGAAAAGGCCCATGAACCCCTCCGTTCGCGCAATTGCTGAACAAGTGTAAGTGTGTGAGTTTGAAAAAGAATTTAAACGAAACTACTAAATCGACAATACGTAGAGAGACGAGAGCTGAAGTTCCTTACCCATAAGATGAAGGCCTGAAGTAGTTCAGATAGAAGAAGGATGAAGAAAGGCTAGCGCTCGAAGGTCTCATAACCATAAGCTAGACTGACAATATTGGATTAGTACTCCTTGTGTTGTCATCTTTGCTTGTTTCGTACTACAGCTAAAAATGTCGATCATAGAAGAACAAGACTGCCTCTGCCTCTCCCCCACCAGCAACTAGGTTAGGCCGCCTAACTAAGTTAGACGATTCTCGCCTTAAAGTTAAAAGACAAGAACGTCGATAGTCACTAAGTCTTAGGTAGAAGATCAAGATAATTTTTGCTCCTTCTGTTCCCCTTTCAACGAACAGGGTTACTAGTAACATACCTCAATTCATAAGTAGTTGAGACTGAGTAACTACGTTAGGTACTAGTGATGAAGATCATGTTTTTCTAGTAGACTAGACTGATCATTTAGAGTACTTGCCATCGCATCGCCTGCATGCTTGTATCCCTTTCGTTCGGCAGCTGGAAGCATCGCATCCGTCTGCATGCGGATTAATGAGAGATCTGCGGGATTCCCCACGATAGCTGCGAGACCACCAGCGGAAAGAGCGCAGAGATTAGAGCTTTGTAGCTCTTCTTCTTTCATTTAAATGTTTTTTTCCTGTACAGCAGGATGACTTCCGGGAAAAGATGACTTCCTACACAACCAAGATGATTTCTTCCTACATGTAGTGTAAGAAGTTGTCCGTCGAAGTCCCTGATCTTGAGTTCTCGTTGAGGAAGTTCCTACAAATAAACGCGCCATAAAGAGTGCTGTCTTGCCCGCGCCAAGGCTCTTCTCTCCCGGATTCTTCGCCATGTCTGTGAAAATGTCGTACAAGCCTAACCGTGCACCCGTATAAATCACTTGTCTCGTGATACCCGCTGACAAACCCTGAATTTTGCAAGGAGGTTCCAGAAGCTGTAGTTGTACTAATCAGAAAGTACGTGAGGAATCGATGACTACACGGTGAACCGTGTGCAGCAGAAGGAACATTCCCAGAGATGCTACTCTACGATCCCACAGATGATGCTCTACGATGAAAAAAGAAGCAAAGAGTGAAGCAAGCTTGATGAAAACAAAATACGACGATGTCGATCATGTTGATGAATTATACTTATACACCGCAATCACGACCACTACCCTCTAATATTAAGACCTCTTTAGTACCGAATACATCGCCAGAAAACCCTCTTCCTTGAGCATAGTGGACGCAATTGTCACTGGCGACGTTGGCTTTCCTTCTGCTGCCGCCACTTGAATTCGCACTTTTATCATGTCCATGGGCTGGATACAGCACGTAGCGAAGGATCCGGCCATTGAACCCGTAAGGAACGGCTTCGCAGCCTTCCAAACCGGGTTGTCGTTGGAAGACATTTTCTTGTAGTTGTGCTCTTGGTAAGTATTAAACGGAAGATTTTAGTTGTATCTACTACTATTGCGTTGGCGCGGAAGAATAAACTAAGAACTAAATAGTTGTATGGTAAGAACTAAGTGGCTTGGTAAGAACTAAATAGTTGTATCTACTGTTCTTGCGTTCCCGTGTCAGTGTGTGTGCGGACTTTCTCTATGTTGGTCGTCTATATCGGGCTTCTCGGACGAGACACAGAGTTATCGCTGTAGGTCGCGGTCGTACAGTCAGAAGAGAGCGTAGAAATAGAAGACAACCTTCTCGATCTCACTAACTCACTGTGATTGGTCCTGTCCTCCTTGAGTGACACAAAGAAATAAAATGATGCATGCTTTCTTAGACTGATAAATGTTTCCAGTTGTAACCAACATCCAACAAAAATGCACAAAAAAATATGAGGTTTTGCCCACGCTCCATTTCAAAACGACTACCAGAGGGCTCCATCTGACTACCACAGGACTCCATTTGACGACCCATCTGTAGTTTTGAAGACACCCTCAACAACTTACCACTTCTTAAGAAATGCCTCTTCCACTGGGCTTTTCCTTTTGTCCGGTTTCATCTCTTAATAATTCCACACAAGCAGAAAATACCCTGCTTCCCTGACTACAACTCTTGCCCTGACGTTGACAACGAACCAGCCTGACAAGACAACAAACAGTGATAGAAACGCGGCACACGAAACTACAATACCAGGTGACCCTCCGTGCTACTACAGTGACGGGTGCAGCGTAGACTCCACCACTGCAGCGTGCAGCCAGTATACGACTGAAAATTACTCGGCAACCTATACTGCCATGCGACTTTCGTTATTTTTCTCAGAAAACAAGTATGGAATTCATCACCACCTCACATGGTGGATTACACATCACAGAGGATAAAGTCAGTTGTAACGCCGATTCACAAGTCTCTTCAAAGAAATGGTCTATCCATCTCTATCATCTAAATAAGACTAAGACTAACTATGTAAAAATAAGAATAATTTCTAGATGTTGAAAGTGAAAGAGTTGCATTCAGAATTCGACATGGGTGGCGTCCCTCATGGGTGACTGACCACTGCACGGAGGCAAAAAGACTATGATCATTATATGTGAAAATTGCTCGTCTTGATCTTTCCATGCAACTGCTAAGTACTTTCAACATTACAAGAACCGAAAAGGAAAACCGATGAAGCGACTCTACCCACCAGAAAACGATTTTTCTCTTTAATTCGAATGTTATCCTCTTCGTTCAGTGTGATGCTAACGAGTGGTAACCAGGAAGTAGCAGCGAACTGACCTAGACAATTGTTTTTAATCGAAGCTGTCTCTGTAAAAATACCATGAATGCAAAGGTATCTCTGCAATATGCGTTTGCGTTACTCAAAAATACGAAAAAGACTTAGATACTCTGTGGCTAAGACAGTGACGATCACTCTAATTTTTACACGTCCATTTTTCGGTATAGCAAGAAACAAGGCCTTTAATTTCCATAGATTGATTCTTAGTTTTACCAGCGATAGGAGGTCCACTTCTCTTACTCTTTAATTATCTCCAAAAACGGTCATTCCGCCGAATCATAAGTGACTGCATCAGTGGTAGTACTGGCGTACACCCGAACCGCAGCCTCCCACTCCGTCTTTCCAGAATCCACCACCTTCGCTTCTGCAAAATAGACCAATATCCACCTTCTATTCCGTGCTTCCAACCTTCACCTCAGGAAAGAATTGCGCTGACAACGCACAAATTAGTAGCTGGAAGTCGCATTGTTCTCCAGGATTTGCTGGAGAGGACCTAATAGTCGGCTAAACGTCTTGCGGTCGACGGACAACACCTGTGCAGGTGTTTGTTTGATTCATGTTCATCATGAGGTCTAAAGTATTTCTATTTCGAACGAATGCATTATCCAGTCACGATGCATTATCCAGAGAGAAGACAATACAATCAGAATCACATGAAAATGGCACCAGGGGGAGTTAGAGGTACTAGAGCATTCTTGTTATCGGAGCGTAATTACCTTGCTTTCTTCTCTTGCCGTGACAGTAGCCTGGCGCAGGTCGTTGCGGAGCAAGGCAAGCTCTCCGAAGAACTGACCCGGCCCATATTCGAGGAGACTCGTCTCAGGCTGCCCGTTCTTCCACGCGTATAAACTACCCTCTTCAACGAGATAGAATGTGTCACCTGTGTTGAGTTATGGGTGGATTTAGTGCAATGATGCACAAAGCGAAGTATCGCCAAGTTGTTGATAAAGTCCAAAAATCTAAATGTTCTAGGAAAATCTTAAATCTAGCCCCCTATAATAAAATGTCTTCTAGTCGATCCACCCTATAAAAAAAAGCCACCTGCCGCGTAGTTCCTTCCTACTCTACTGCCACTCGACTTACAACTACCTTCTTCTCCCTGCGTGATGACGTTCTGCCCTGGCGAAACGTAACTTGGCTTCAAAGCGTCGGCCAGCTGAGCCACCTCGTAATCGCCCAGATCCTTGATGATTTGCACACTATCATTAGAGCTCACCAGAGAAATGACTGATCTTGACTCAAGCTCGATTACTCATCATTTTTAGGGTAAAACGAGGCCTTAATCTTGAGAAATTCCATGTACATTTCTCGCTTCTTCGCTGATGCATCTCGTACGATGGCGTTGAAGGTCTCGCGATCTAACTTCCACATCACCGAGTCCACTGCCGCATCCACAGAGGCAGCGCGAGGAGCAAAGATTAGATGAGGAAGAGTTCAGAGATCTTTGTAGTCCTCAACAACGTGATAAACATCCTACTACTACGAGATACAAGAGTGCTAGTACAGGAAGACTCTAATAAATATTACAAGTGTTTTACAAAAAGGCTAAGAAGGTTCCTTCTACTAAGTGTTACAAAAAGGCTAAGAAGGTTCACCACGACACTTAACACTGACGGGTCCTTCTACTGAAGATGACGAGAGAATAAATCCTTGGCCTTGTGTTGGTTGCACAGGTAAAGTACTCACATGATGATACGAATCTACTCGGCAATCTGCCTAAGATTTCCCTGGCGAATTCTGGTAAAATACTCACATACTCGCACCATAAGTTATAGAGCAGCGACAGTTCGCCGAATGCGTCGCCTGGTTCGCACGTTTTCACGACGTTTTCTTCATTTGTCACCTTGTCCAGGATCTTGCACTCGAAGGCGCCCTCCTCAATCACGTAGAGGCAGTCTCCGTCCTCGCCTTGATTGATCACCCGCTGACCTGCGGGAGCCCTCAATTCCTCCATAGCCATCACCACAATGTCCAAGTCGCCACTATCCAACGTAGAAAAGAGGAACGACCTGTGGTAGAAGACGGAATACAGAGTCCGGAATAGAGTAGATAGAATAGAGTAGAGTTGTACATATAGTTAAGCTTAAGTATAAATGTCAATTTAGAGTAGTAAGTATATGTCAATAGAGTAGAGTGCATATAGATAGAATACAGAGTCCATATAGATACAGAGTCCATATAAGTAGATACCTACTCGCTCCTGTTGTTACAGAGTAATAGTGAGATTTACCTAGGACGTTTCAAAGTCAGTATTTCAAAGTCAGTGTTACAGAGTCTAATAGATAGAAGGGTTACAGAACATTACCGAAGTTGACATTCGTTCTTGAAACAATTAATCTTCCATTTGCGGCAGAACTCTTCCTATGCTTCATTCAGTGGTCAGTAGTACATGAAATCGAAAAATGACCACAGAGGACATGAAATCAAAAAAATGCTCTCTGTGGTCAGAAGTCGTACCCCTGCAGCACTTTCTTGATTCTGGCTTTTGCCTCATCGGACTTCGGGATCTCAACCGGCTGGTATTCCTTCTTCTTGTTCCACTGACCATAAGCCTCAGCACTCACACTTCCTCGAGGCTTCTTATTCAGCGGCGGCGCTGGCAGGTCGTCCACCACGTCATCGTCATTGTCGTCGCTCTCATCATTCACAGCCACCTAGAGGGAGATTGAACGTGAAAAATTCGATAAATTGAACGTAAATCAGTGGCGGCAAGTTCTAGTACTTGTATTCGTAGCACTCCACTTTCATCACAACCAAGCTGACACTCTAGTTTGGAGAATAATGCTGCCTGCAAACGACCTTTTGAGTACTACGGGTAGCATCCTCGCCTTACCTTAACTACAGGTCGTGCCACAAGCTCCGTAAGGAAAATTCATAGACAAGTACCCTACCTTGCCCTCTAAGTCCTTGATTTCTTGCCCGTTTACATTTAGACAAGTAGACTACCTTGCCCTCTAAGTCCTTGATTTCCTGCTTGATTGCGCTTATCCTGAGTCGTAAGCTGTCTGCTTCCTGACCACCTCCTGCCGCTTTTGACGACAGCCAGCTGATCATAAAACCAATCGTTTTTAGAGCTAAAATCAGGATTGTCTCTTGCGTTTTATGGCTACCCTCGTGTCCGGAATCTGAAACAACAGGATTACTGAGCTCTGAAAACATATCCCCAATTTCTTGAAAGGGTCGCTTGGGTGATTCTAGTAAATACTAGGGTTGCATAACCCTAAACCGACACTGAAGATATAGAGAACATCAATCTGTAGCAAAATCGAAGTTCTCATTAACAAAAAAACAATCTGTAGCTACTTGCTAAATCGAAGTTCTCATTAACAAGTAGTAGCTAGTAGTAGCTAGTAGTAGCTAGTAGTAGCTAGTAGTAAGTAAAACTTTTGTTTAAGAACAGCCTTAACGTATCATCTGGCTTGTCCAACAAGATCGCTGTAACTAGCGACTCCAGTATCGGGTTCACTTTTTTCTGGATATATTCCTGATGCTCGGTCGACGTCATGTTGACTGCCTTCAGATGTGGTTCCTAGGAAATGGAAAAATACTCTCAGCAGGTGGTTCCTTAGAAATAATACTATCTTCACTCAGTACCCGAGGAAATGGAAAAATACTATCAGTAGGTATCTGGTTCCTACTCCTAGGAAATGAAAAAGACTAAATCAGTAGGTACCTCAAAAATCTTCAGTTTTCTTGTATTGAACAATTGTCACTTTTGTATCGTGGTTGTACTAGGGAGAACGAGGAATTGGAACAGATTTGCTAAGGATGAAGAGGATATCGTAGCTCGTTGACGAAGAAGCAACGAAAACGCTTTTGACACCTTTGCGGTGTATCCTACTTTTTTGTGTTTTCTTATTTGGGAAAAAAAAAATCCTCTCTGCGTAGACGGGTGTGATGAAGCCGACGATTTTTCTCAGGCGTGCCCGGGTCTTCTTGCTAGGGTCTGTCAGTAGCAACAAAAAAACAAAAAAAAACAGATCAGTTTTCCTGGTAAAAACACTCACTCAAATGGACAATTGAAGACGACAGATGATTTGCTTCACTGCCCGACCGTTTTTTGCATGCACGCTACAGTCCCGTGATATATTTTTCTTCGTTTCAAGCCGTCGAAGGAACTTGCCGGCTCACAAACAGTTTCAGTTTCGTGCACATCACCTACCACGTCGCGCCTCAGATCCCGCGTCGTTCCTCCAACACTTTTACTCTTCTCGTGCCAGCCGCAGTTTCCTTGTTGGGCACGGAGATTCTTTCAGTCTCAGTCTCTCTCGTCTCACTCCCTCATGCGTAATGAACAGCTAGTTGTACGTGCACTGGCCCACAATGATTCAAGGAGCTTTGAAGCCGTAGAACAGTGGTGCAGAAATCAATAACATATAAGGGTCAACACAGTTGTAACATTTTGTGATTAATCACACGAGGTTCTTGAGGTGGGTCGTGGTCCTTCACAAACTGAAATTTGAGAGCAGTGAAAAGGGTCGCAGGTTGGTTTGTTGTTCCACTCGAAGGCCTGCTCAGAGGGTAAAAATCATGAGTCCAACCACAGCATCTTCGTATCGTGTTTTGTTACAAATGCTGTTTGTAAGAGCGGACGTTTGTGATTGAACAAGAAGCTGTCGATATCTATACCATGAAAGCGAGAGGAATGAAAAAACGTTGAAAAACTGGCTTCCTTGGGGTAAGAAAGTCCTGTAAATACGTGATGGGATGTGCCGTAGTAAAAAAAAATCTACTTTGTTGAGCTCTTTGGGAGGTGTGTGGCAGTTCATCTCACAGGGCAGCACAAGTCACAGGACATCACAAGATTATAGAGCCTATTGAATGGATAGGAGTCGTTTTTTTGTCTAGTCCAGTCCTCGAAGTCCTCCTTCTTCATCTTCTGTCCAGTCTCTAAGATTGATCTAAGTCTCTAAGATTGATCTAACCCAGAAACAAGTCGCTCTGTGAGATGTTTCGGACTCCGTTTTTGTCCACCACCTTGATCGTGAAGGCGTCCATTCGGCCCAAAGCGAAACGAACCTTAATCTCGGTAATGCACTTCTTCACCACGTTCAATGCCTCCTTTTCGGTATATTAGATTCTAAGAATGGAGGAATTTTCTATGCATAGTCGGATCGATTTGGATTTTGAAAATTGAAAAAATAGACATGACTAAATAGACATGACTCAGGGAGGTCGTACTTTTTGTGCTTAATTCGCAAAATTTTTTACACATGAAGGCTAATCAATGTCAATCAAACTACGATAATCTCGGTGATGCACTCTTTCAATGCCTCCTTTTCAAGGCATTAGAGGAGATGAAGTCCACTTAATCAAACTACGATAAGAAAAAGTTGAGTTCGAAAACTACGATGAGATCGAAACATTCTTTCTTCCAGCCATAAGTAAGCCCAGTCTTCCATTCCTTGTCCAAAATACCATGGACAAAGTTGCCTGCGTAGCTGTGGGCTGCTTTGTTCACCTTCGCGCAACTCGCATAGGAATCCATGAAATACAGCTCAGCATCGTAGGTTAGAGAAAGGGTAAAGAAGGAAAAAATAGAAGAAGTACTCTGAAGAATAGAAAAAGATATAGAAAAAGTAGTACCTGAAGAGATTCTGGATAGAAGAAGAAGAAGAAGAAGAAGGACCTCTCCTCTAGTTGTGCCTGTAGTACGTGCCTAGGACAAGGTGTGAAGATACTACCTCCTCTAACTCATTAGTCTCAATCTCTTGCCCATAATCCATTCTCCTCGTCGTATCCGGCGATGATCAGATCACACTGATACGGTCCTCGACTCCGCAACGCCTGAGCAAGTTCGTTACGAGTAAAGGACGCTGCGGCTTTCGTTGACAATCCTACACCATTTCGCAACTTCAGTTATGAAAGCAGAGAGATGATAATATCGAGGTAGATTTGATGGAGGTTCTGGGAATTGAGATAAGAGGGGGGGATACTTCGAAGATGAAGGATTTTGATTTTTTCAAGAGTACTAAGGAGAAATAGAACTAGATTTAGGAATATCATCATGAGTAACTACCATGTCATAAGTACAAGGTGATGTTCTTGGAGATGTAGTCCATGAAGGTCGTGCGGTCTGCAGACGGTCCGTTGCAGGCGAAAAGCTTTTTCTCCACTTCCATAATTTTGTTTAGAGGTTGCCCATCATTTTCATTCTAAGTCAAAAATATACTCGACTTCTTATTCTTTCCTACTGGATCAAAATGAGTCAAGTAGTGAAGGTGACGAAGGTGAAGAATGCAAAGTGGTAGCCCTTAACTTATCTTCATCGGACTTGATCGCAATGATCTGATGCGCCTGCATCTGGGCGTCCGCCACGACGATGGCGAACCCCTCTCCCTTAATACCGAAGCAAGTCTCGAATGCCGACATTTTTTTGTCCTGATAGTTCTACGTGGCGATTCTTGATCTGCTTCTTGTTGTAGTAATGTAGAAAATTTATACCTCCTAATCAATGTTTACGTTACTGCCTTCACTAATGAACGTTGAAGCTTAGTTTTGGTCTCACCACTCAGTCACATCGGCGTTTTGCTCTTGTTGCCCTGTCTGCTTGGCATCATGTGATTTGCAATTATTTCTTTTGTGTAATCTGAGAAAAGAACTGGCGCAACTAGCCCACATCCAGTTTGAGCTTCGTAGCATACCAGGAGTAGTAGAAAAACACCAAAATCATACGATTCCTCTACACGCCAAACTTCAAATCAAGGGTTTGTTCAAATTCTGTTCCTTCCTTCACCTTCCAAGAGAGCGACTTCTAATCGGATTTCCATGCTCTAGATTCAGTTTGCCCGTCTTGTCGCTCTGATTCATAGCATCTTTCAGAAATCTGACTGATAACATCTGACTGCAGACTGTCAGTTATTCACTGCAAGCATTCACGTGGATGAAACATTATAATCGCCACAGCTGACTCAAATTGAAATTTGCAGACACAACAAGATCATCCTTTTTTTTGGATTTTTTTTGCAGCTCTCTGGAACACTACGACCATTCACCACCAACACACGAGGAAGAGTTACAGCAAGAATCCCTTTAAGAACAAGAATGTAAAGCCCTTTAAGAACAAGACCTTGCTCCATGCTCTAATAACAAAATATGCAGATCTGAAGCCCATGGTCGTGCAAAAATTTTCATTTTTGGAGTTTCTTCTTCTTGGAATAAGTATATCATGGAATCGAAGAACTTCTCCTGTCCTCCAACGAACTGTGAAGCTGGTCATCCAGCCTCCAACATCCAAAAATTCCCTTTTTATGACTCTAAATAATCGTCAATATTGAAAGGTAAGAACTCCATCTTCGCCAGCTCTTCAAACTTCTCTTCTCCAGGTCCTCGTGATGAAACTCTATCTCCTACACCTTCGCCTTTTGCAGTACTAGAAGATGAGGAACTGCTAGAACTAGTATGCTGATGTTCTACTCCGACTACACCTACTACAGGAGCCCTTCCACCTTGTTGTACTTCACCACGACTAGCTGTCTTCGTCATTGCACTTCCACCCTGTGGTAGTTTCTTCATCACTCCTGCTGCACTTCCTTGATGCTGTGCTTTGTTCTGCGACTTCTCGTTGGTACTGAAAAATAGAGAGAGGGAATTTCCTTTTCGGTGCACATTTTCCCCTAGTTCTTGAACGTTCTCTTTGTCTGCCTCTCTTCTCTTCTTTTTCCGCCTACTAGGTCCTTTTGAAGTAGAAGTAGCACTTTCATCTCGTCGTGGTCGTGGTCCGCTCGAATCCGCGACCTCCTCTTCTTTAATCCGCTTTCTCCTTCTCTTTTTTCCATGTTCTTGTAGATGGCTTTCTTCTTTACCTCCGATTCTCTTCCTGGAAGACGCTATACATTGCTCTCCTTTTACTGCGTTCTTCTCCTTTTCCTCCTGTAATCGCAGCCACTCCTCCCAACCATCAGACTCTGAGTAGAGTTCATTCTCTTCTTCTGCCTCCTCTGCATTAGGAGGCAGAGCTTCAACATGATCCATCAGGAGATCATTCTTGAGGAGTTTAGAAGAGGAGTTTAGCCTGATTTGGTCTAGCTGCCCTCCACCCTTTTGTGCTACTAAACCTGTCCGCAGTTCTGTTTGCTGCGCGAGAAGCAGCTGCTGCAATTTCTTCATGTTCTGCGCACTGCACGATGGCGCCAGCGAAGATTTTAGCTCTTTAGTACGATTTTGGGGTCTAGTACGATTTTGCTTCCCGTCTCCTCCCTCCTCTCCTCCTCCAGCAGCAATGTTACTCATGCAGCTCGTGTAATGTTTCCTTCCTTCTCCTCTCACATCCACGTCCCCGCCCCGTAGAGGAACAACAAGCACATCAGCAGTTGTGGACGACGCCGAATTCTTATCGAATTCCTCCTTTATGTGATTAAGATTACCATCCACCTGCTCTAAAAAAACTTCTTTCACGTCTAAGAACAAGTCATTTTGCATTTTCGCCTCGACTTCAAGAGAAAAGACGGGCCCGTCGGCTTTACTAGAGGTTGTCCTGCGTGTCTTCGACGTTTCTTGTTCAGTGGACGTTTCATGTCGGATCGCTCCAAACTCCTCCTTTACTGCCTGCGCTATCAGACATCCTTTACTCGATGACAGGATCATTAGCGGTTGCCCTGTAATTATCTTGCATCTTCCATCGACTTGTTAAGATACTCCTTAAGTAGGGACAACATCCCGGAAGAAGAAGTGGGCGTCTTTTCCTCTTGATCCTCCCCTTATGATTCTAACCCTCCCTGGTCAAGTTTGAAGCAAATGGGTCTCTCAACCAAAAAGATTGGTGGTCTATTAACTTAGGGCAAGCCTTAACACAAGCGAGTCGTACAAAACGCGAAACTCTTCCTTGGCGTTTTGCACCACTTCTTGATCATCGTTTCCTACTCCTCCACGTTTTTCTAGATCTAGGTGTACGTTCTTTCCTTTCTGAACTGCATGGTCATCGTTCGCTCCACTTTCATCTTCTGGATCTGCCTTTTCTCCTGCAGAAGTATCGACATGTGCAGAAAGCTGTTCTTCTGCTTCTCCCTTGTCTCCTTCAACATCTGCATGGGAAACTTTCAGTTGTACCTTCTCTACTCCTTCAACAGAAGTACAAGCTACAACATCCGGAAGTTGTACCTTCTCTACTCCTTCAACAGAAGTACAAGCTACAACATGACCCTGCAGTGATCCGGTGTCACCAGCATGAAAGGAAACGAGAGCGCCAGCACAGGAGCCTAGTCCGGTGGTGATACCATCGCCAAAGAGGGACTCGGCATACGAAATCCGACTCCTCAAAATAGCGTACGACATCCTGTGGATGTGGTAACGCGAAAAAGAGGTACTAACTATTGCTTGATTGGTTGTTTCATGATTTACCTGTCGAGATGCGGCGTGTTTCTGAGGAGAAGTGAGTGCTCACTATCTACTTTCGCTTCTATTATATTTCTTTTTCGGGAGGTGCAGGTGTTAATTGAATGCTTATGCTACGCACTTCAACTATGACTTATGAATATTACGAAGTTTGATGGATTAGGATTATCAGGAAATACACAGGAGAACTACTTGGGCGCCAGGGTTACCACGACTACATGAAGGGCAAATGATCTCTAAGATATCCTTCAGACAATAACTTCTACAAACTATTAGAGTCTGCTAGATTGCATCTCGGCCCCCTCATCTTGACCCCTTTTACCTTGTATTTCACGAGAATACAAGGGAAAAGGGAACCAAGATGCCGAGAATGATGGAAAAAAGCTGACCATAAAACTACGCAGGGCAAATCACAGTGTCTTCCTCCTCTGACTAGGAACCGACTACGAACCGACAAGCACAACCGAGCGCAATGACCGAAAGACATCATGGTACGACAGAGAGCCGTGACCGAAAGCATCAGTAGAATAGACTAGATCATTACCATCCTTTTTCTCCTCTCTCTGAGGAGCACTCTAAAGGCTGTCGTCCGCACAGAGAACACACGCGTGACTCCTAAAAGACGATGTACAAAAGACTCAACTTTTGGTTTTGCATGAGTGATTTCAAGTGCATGAGCGGAAGTTTCAAATTGTCCTAGAAAATGCAAGCATTTCAGAGAGAACTACTCCCACGACCTAGTTTCTGAGGTATCACCTTTTCACGTTGCACAATTTCTTCGACAAGGAACTAGTAGGTTGTAAGAAAGTGTAAAACCTAGTAAGTTGTGGTGTATTTTTTTCGATTTTTCGATCTGCTATGCGCTTTCGGAGCCTTGATGTCGCCCCTATAACGAGCAAAGAGTCGCTGATTTGGTCCTGTCTAAACTTTTTTACAACCAGCAAACTGCGGTGATCTATATATTTGTAAACAGCGAACTAGTCCTCTGGAGGCACTGTATTACTGGATGGCCTCACAGGTAGACACTTATAGCTACACAAGAAGTACCATGACATGACATGACAAAGAGTAGTCTCTGTCACGCATCATCTATAGTTCCTTTTATTGATGCACCTCGTCTGCTTAAATTGGCACCCCTCACAATGACTAGAAAAAATAAATTTCCTTACTTCTTCACCTTGCGTCTTAGATAGTCCTTCTTTACCATAATCAGCAAGCCTGCATGCTCCTACTACTCAAGTAATATTGGAAGAGAAGGAGACTACTAACCCTGTAGTGCTTGAAGCCAAAATAAGGATATATAAACTAGCAACTGTACTAGTATTCAAGCTGCGTGATGAAATCTATGTCTATCATTTGACGCTAGGTAGCATCTGTCGCGATATCGAGTTTCAAGTAAGGATAGGATAGGAATTAGCTCGCCTCGGGGAGGTGAGCGTTCACGACTATAAAAACGCCGAACTACTAGTAAATGTTAGCTGAAGAATTCATCATGTTCCCTTTAGACGTTTGGCGACATTTTTATTGCATTCGATAAACAACATGATAAGAATGGAATTCGCTGTACTAGTGTGTTCCCCTATGCAACTACTAGATTTTTTAGTGTAATCTTGAAAAATATGGATAAACGCAAATCTCTATGTCCATGTGCAATTATTTCAGAGCATAGTTGATCAATGGATAAACGCAAATCTCTATGTCCATGTGCAATTATTTCAGAGCATAGTTGATCAATGGATAAACGGAAATCTCTATGTCCATGTGCAATTATTTCAGAGCATAGTTCGGTTCAACCTGAATCTTCCTCTATTGCTGTCACCAAGAAATTATAAATAGAAATTCTTGGGTACTAGAAGATGAAGATCTCTTCATTTCTTAGTAACAGTATTCGTGACCTTCTTTGCGCGCTCTGCGTATTTGAGGGAATTCATAGTCTCATCCACATTGCTACTGGCAGGTGAACAGTTCATGAACATCAAAGTCTTCGCGGAGCCTCCCAAACTATCTTGCATCAACTGCGTTAACAAGTGGTTTCGATATGGGATGACAGCCGCAGTGTTCTTCCCACCTGCTGGCGCTCGTGTTAGGGCCTCAATCACGTCGCCTAAAGCAGTCAGGCTCTTGTTGATCTCGATTGCCTCCTTCTGTCCTTGGCCCGTCACTTGCGATTTCGCAATGCGCTCGCAGCCAGCCAAGTCGCACATCAACAGCTTCCCACATGTTTTTTGCTTGGTCTCCTTGTTCACCGAGCACAGCTTCACAACCGTGATAAGGTGCGACCGCGAGGACTCGGCGTTCATCGCCGTTGAGGCAACGGCTCGGCGGCCAAAGCCGCTCGCAATAGCGTTTTCCATGGCTGTGGCGCTCAGCAGCTGCTTCTCCTCAGCGCCGTCGATGGTAACCGTGCCGTCTTTTTCGCGTCTGATCTTGATTTCCGGCGCCTTCACGGCACCGGGTCCGCCCTTTTTGCCCTTGCCGCTCAACAGCAAGTCCGTAAAATTGGCGCAGTAGAGTTCGATCATGTGCAGCGACACTGTGTGAATGAAGCGATCCGAGTTTTCGTCGATGATGCGGAAAACCTCTTTGCAGGACCGCGGCACCACACCTGGATCTTCTGCTTTTCCGGTCATGGTATGGGTTTTCCCAGCTCCCGTCTGGCCGTACGCAAAAACAGTGACGTTGTAGCCGTCAAAGGCGGACTGGACTAGATCCTTCGTGTCCTCAAAGATCTCCTCTTGGGTGCCGGGGAAGTGCGCTGCGTCAAAGGTGAAATCACGCATCTTTTTGGATCCCTTGTCTGCACGCGAGTCTTCCACGCTCAGAGACTGCGCGTCCACTCTATGAACTGCTTCGTGGTCTCCCGCGTCCTCCTCCTTCTTGTTGAAGGGACGCACGCGGACGAAAACCCGGATGCTGCCCTTGAGATCCTCTACTCGGTTATGCACTTTTTTCTTGCGCAGCTCGAGATCCACCATCTCGACTTCCTTAATGCCTATTTTTTTCGCGCCCGTGAGCATCGCGGCGCACTGCCTTTCCCACTCGCGCAACTGGTCTAACTTCTCGGCATCTACCTGTTCGAAGCCTTCGGTAGTCTTCAGAAGGTTCGCCAGGCTCACGCGCATCGCGGCGCGCTCTTTCTCCGCCGCTAACCAGTTGGCGGCCTCGACCAGCACCGGACGCTCGTCTGCGAGCATGCCCAGCTTCCTGCACGCATCCAACGCACTCTTGACCTTCTTCTCTGCGTCTTCCACGTCTTCGCGGACGCTCAACACCGCTTCTAAAGCATCGCACGCGGCCTTTTTCGGTTCTTCCTCCTTGAGGACCTTCTCCGCTATTGCAACGTCGATTCCTAGTCGTTTGACGCTTGCAATGGCGCTCTTGAGTGCGTCTACGTCGATCGGCTTTGTCTGGAGCACGTCGGCTAAAGCTTTCTCAGCCGCTTCCTTGTTCGCGAAGACCTCCAGCTTCTTCTCAAACTCAGCCACGTCAGCGTCGATTAGCTGTCCCCGGTCCGGAAGGCTCTTTAGTCGCTGGAACTCTGTGCGGAACTCGTCTACTTTCCCTGCGTTGGCTAGCTGAGCGAGCTTCCCCCTATTGTCCACGCGCGTGCGACCCTCATCGCGAATAGACCTCCCCTGCTCAAGCAAATCACTATCGGAAACGCCGGACTGAAATATTAAAATTTGTCGTTCAGTTCCGTTCTTTTGCGTAAAATAGTTTCTTGAATTCTAAGGCCAAGGAGATTGTTGTTGGGGAAAAATGGAAAGGTTGATGTCAGACACGACGTGTAGGTAACTCTAATGAATGATCTAAAGAAAGGTTCCACAAGAACATCCGAAAGTACCTTTTTCGCTTTTTCCAAAGCCGCTTCAAATTTCATAAGTGCAGGCTTTAGCTCTTCCGCCTTCGCCTTCGCTTTCTCGGTCTTGAAGAGATCGATTGCGTCGCAAAGGTCGTTGGTTGCCGCCTCTAGCTTCTTCGCTACTTGCAGCGCAGCTTCACACTTCTCATACGCGTCTTCAGCCGTCAAGTCGAACTCTTCGTTCGCTTTCGCGTGCAAAAGCGCTACCTCCATCCTCTGGACGTCTGCAGTGTCTATGGCGCTCAACAGCTCCAAAAGGAGGCTCTCCTTGTTGCTTTCGTCGTCTACACGGATGGACATCCTGGACATGTCATCATGGATGCCTTCGGGCGTTGAGGTAGTGCGGCGCTTTGCGTGCGTCTTCCCTGCCATACTGAGCCGACTGGCACGTTGGCTCGCGCGGCCTGCGAATCCTGCCGAGCCTGCTTGGCTTGGGCGTTTCTCCACGTCCCGACTAGAGCTTGGCGCGTGCTTTGCCTTTCCTCCTTTACTTTTGACCCCAGTCTCCACGACGTCGTACTCTGCTTCTTGTGCCTTGAACATTACGCTCTTCTTGCCCCTTTTGGCTGTGTCACCAGCCATGATGGTCTTCCTAGAAGCCTGGGACTCTTGACTAGCATTAGTCTGTCGCAGGTTCTCCTCTACTTCGTCTGCGCCACCTTCTTAGACGAGCTAGTTTTTCACTATGTCTGGTTGAGTCTGAGTGAGTAGTATTATTATTAATAAAGTCTGACTACATGAGTAGTATTATTATTCTTTAATATTAATAAAGCCTGACTTGATGTTGTGCCTGACTTGATCATGTCTCCTGTAGAGGGACTCTACTCAGCGCAATATACTGGAGCATACGGGAAGATCAAGATAGTGTGATAAACTAGCCTTAATTTATTTCGTCCAAGCCTGAGAGGTCGCCGTCATCGTGCTCCTCTTCCGAATCGAGGTACTCCTCGCCCTCGGAAGCGGACCCCACATCCCCCTCCCGCTCGTCGATGTAGTCGCACAGCTCAGCACCGAACTCCGAATCCGGACAGTCGAGTCCCGCGTGGTAGAGCAGTGTACCTGGTAGAAGTAAAACGATTAAGTAGATTCAGTCTAGTCCCGCGTGGTAGAGCAGTGTTACTGTACCTGGTAGAAGTAAAACGATTATAAGTAGATTCACAAGATGTACGATTAATTTGACATTCCAAAAACAGAATCCCCAACGATTAATTTGACATTCCAAAAACGTTCTGCAAGATGTACTGTTTTGGTATTCGGTAGTCTGATTTTGATCATAACGGAAAACAAGAGGAGAATATTTGTGACCGAATTCAGGTTACCAAAAACCAGAACCATTCACAAGAACTTGACATTCCAAAAACGGCTTCCCCAACGATTAATTTGACATTCCAAAAACGGAATCCCCCAACTATAAGAATTATGTCCGTTACAGAGAAGATGTCCTAGGCTATTTCCTGGTCTAGTAAAAGCAGAGTACCTGGCGGATAGGATAGGGTCGGACTATGCCAAGATGTGGTAAATTGTGAGTAATGCCATGTGTGCACCTCAAGTTGTGATTATCCTTAATCACTGGCGAGATGAAACAGTTCCTAGAATAACTTGGTACTGACATCCAAGCTAGAAAAATCAACGAAAGTATACCCATTTTGAAGTCGTGGCGCAGTTCCGCGTAGGACATGGCCGTGTTTCCCTGATAGTCTTGCATGAAGATATCGGCCTCATGGTCTAGGAGGCAGCAAATTACCACGCGATCCCCCGCATCAACCGCATACATAAAGGGCGTCACTCCGTAGGAGTCCACCGCATTGATGCTGGCGCCGTTCCGTATCAGGTCGCGCACGATCACGGCCTGATGCTTGCTGTGTTTCGTGTCTTGCAGGACCTTTGTGGTTTTCCGACAAGCGTGGTGCAGGACCGTCATCTGGCAGTCGTCACGGATGTTGATGTCGATGCCTGGATGTCGGGCCAAGTAATGGACAGCCGCGCGTCGCCCAAAGGAGCCCGCGTACATGATTAGCGTACGCCATCGGTCGTCCCTCACGTTGGGACTGATCATGCCATTCGTAGACTGCCATTCCTCTCCTAGCTTCTTCAGGCTCTCTTCTGAGCCTAAAAGCTCCCGCAAGCGCTCGACATCGCCACCGCGGGCAGCCTGAATGGCATCCCGCACTCGCTCGAAATAGCTTTGCCTGCTCATCTTGCTGCTAGTATATTTTGTTTCAGGTGTTAAAAAACTCTAAGTAAAGGAAAGATGTAGTTAAAGATTGTGGGGCAATTGATATGATTTCTTTTCACACACTGTTGATCATAAATATCTCGGGAAAGAAATTGTATCTTCTGCAATCAAATTATGAATTTCTATTGTAATATTGTAATATATGATAGTCAAATTCTCAAAATTTCTCAATGATTCTAAGGGCGGGAAAACTTTTACATTAATTTGTAAAAACACCCACTTCTATATGAGCTCATCCCGTGCTAACCTACACATCCACAAAAATGAATATCAACTAACATCACTGCAAGGTTGTAAACATCGAGGGGGAACAAAAACTGGCACTTTCGAACCAGAAACTGCAGAAAAATGATCCGGGGACACGGGAGGAGTCACAAATGTTTCAAGTTCATCTTCGTCAACTATCTGTATTTCCATTACGAAACATTTTGAGGATTAAGTGGCACATAGGATGTCAGTCACCATAGAACAGAAGACGTCATCTGAAGACACAAGAATAGCCCTCAACAGATATTGTTCTCGTCAGATGTCAGTCTTGCAAGCATGACAGAGCAACGGAATGCTCCTCTCATTATTAAGTCATGGTGATGCCACCTTGACCTTATCAACCTCAGGCAGTTCTCAACCTCAGTTTCTCGTGAACAGACAAGAAGAATCTCTTGAACCGACTCTCTTTTCATCTACTATGTGTCAGCAAACTCGTCTGTCACGAGGACATTAGCCTTAGGACAGGATAGGATGCTTCCGCTTCGCTGTCACATCGAGGTGACTGCATTCTCTACGTGCACGGCATTCCACACTTTAATATGCTACTCTCTCTCAACTCAATTCAACATAAAGTAACCTCTCATCGTCATGAACACAAGTCCTCATGGCAACAACATTGGAAGCAGCGAAGTCGATTTTTTCTTCGGGTCCATCTTGACCTTCTTCTAGTATCTACGATAATAACCTGTACTCTTGATCAGGAGTTCAGCGAACGGTTCGATTTTGTTGTATCCAAAGATATTTGCTAACTGTTCATTAACATCAAGAAACAGGCACCGTTAACATATTTGTTACATCGGAAAATCTACACAGCATACACGCCCTGGCGTATGTCTCACGTGGAGCGAAAAAAATCCGTTTCTGACATATTGCACACGCTGGTCCCTGTGTTTGATGAACACAGCACATGCATCAGGTATTCGAAAAATAATTTCTTGATTCTCTCGTTCGATTTTCGCACAAAAAAAAATGAGCTTCCAAATTGATCAGGGAGTTGGCTTAGTGGTTTAGGCGTTGACCTGTACACTTATCACAAATCATAATGGAAAAAGACACCATTTACAACATGATACTCACTTTGCTCGATTTTTGCTCGCTCAGCGCACTGGTTCATGCTTTCCTTTTGAAAACTCCTAGTGTCGCGAACACAGATGGCTAAACAAGCGCGCCTTTGCTTCCATCCCTTAATATTTAATACTCTCAGGGACACAGATGGTTAAACAAGCGCGCCTTTGCTTCAATCACTCACAAGAAACAAACCGAATCTTTTGAAGCCACGCTTTCCTCCTTGCCTTTTTATTTCCTACTATCGACGCGCAAACACATGTCAGTAACTGAGTCTTGTATTGTTCTCAATTTCCACCAGTCGCTGTAGAATCTTGGAATCACAACATGATAAAAATTGTGTGCTGGGTTACAACAATTGGTTCCCGTTGGTCGAATGGGAAACATTTGGAATTGTCATAAACCACAGAAATTATTATGAGTTGGGACTTGTAAATGAATTAAGGCGAAAAGAGAGCCTAATTCTGACAGAAGGACAACAAGGGCGAGAACAATCGAAGATTTTTTTTGTTGAGACAGCTACTCTGAGGACCGTCAGCTTACCCCGTTCCTTCCACCACATAGTCTGTATCTACTTTACACAGGTCCTCGTAGTCTAGGGAAAGCGTTCGTTCTACTGCCTCTGTCTCAGGAGTCTTGTTTCCTGAAGATACGACCACAGTCTTGATTTTGACGGAACAGCAGAAGTTCTTTGCGTCGATGGCTTCTAGTACCCCTCTCGCTGCGAAATGGGGAGAGGAAACTGCTACAATCGCGACTTCGCGCCCAACTTTTGGGATCACTGTTTCCAGTAACCGTACTGGTATCCGGATCTTCTTTCCCCCAACGCCTTCTTCGGAACTCTGCATCTTGATGTCTACCAGAATAGCTCCAATGACTTCTGGTGACAGCGTAGACGAAGCTGCAGCAGCTTCTTGGTCGTGCACTTGTAAAACAGTGCCCTTCTTCTTGAAGTACTTGCCGCCTTTCAGATTTTTATCCAGAACCTTGACCACAATGCCTGGTGTCACCCAGCAAACCGGTCGCTTTTCTTGGTTGCGCTCAGCATCCTCTTCTAGTCCACCAGCTGGTCCTTCCTCAGAAATGAGGTCTTCGTCATCTTCATCGTCCTCAAAATACTGCCCTCTCCTAGACATTGCGCCAGGCAGGAAAAACGCTTTCTTAGTTGGAGGACCTGTGCTGCTAGAGGAACCTCCTCCAATTGCTTCTCCTGCTCCTTCAGGAACTAGGCCAAGGAATGCTCCACCAACATTGTTCCCTAAAGAAGTTCCTGGTCGCTTGTTAGTACTATGGTTAGTCGACGTCACTCCAAAAGATCCAGATCCACTCAAACCAGTAGTACTACTTGAAGAAGTCGCTTGATTACTCTTTCCTAAAGAGGATGACCCAGCACCACCTAGAGCAATGGTGACTTTGCCTGCCGCGGGATCTCTTTTTGTGAATCTTTCGCTTTCAGCATCGGCGTCCTCCGTCGGCTTCATCGCCACGAGCTTCGCTAGATGCCGCTCTTCTCTGTCTTAGAAGATGCATGCTTTGAAGATCTGGATTTTCAGATAAATACAAATAGCCTTGATGACTACATAAGCACTCCTACCCTATTTACTTGCAGGTCGGAGGTTACAAGTGCAAAAACACTACACTGCTGGACTGTGGAATCTTGTCACATCGATGCATCCTGCCGGTAGGTGCAGCAAACCTATTTAGGATGCACAGAATAGAAAAAAATTTAAATGCCATAATTTTCAGCTTCCGTGAGTTTCCTCTTCTCCTGCTTGGCTTTCGCTGCGTCGCGCTCGTCCCGCTCCTTGTCGATGTAGGTTATCAACCATTTTCCTTGGTTGTCGCGCTCGCCTAGTACCTGTCCCGTCCTCACCAGGTACTCCACGAAGTTTCCAAGCGTCGCCCAGATCGTCGAGTTCATGTGCTGGTGATCCCTATCCCGGATGAAGTCCATGTATACCGTATTCGCCTTGATGTTCGACACCTTGCAATAGCGCGTGCTCATCAACACCATGAAGTCCTTCTCGAACTCGGCACTGAACTGGTCTATGAAGTCAGTCGGATTGTCCATGAACAAGGACATGTTGCGTAAATGGACTTCCGAGGTTTGATGGCATTTGAAGCCGTTTTCGTCTCGGCATTGCTTCTGGCACATTTGGCAATAGAAACGGAGCTTTTGCAGCCCCTTGCTCTTCATCTGGTTGCCAAGCCATTTTGAGGAACCAACGTCGTGCTTCGGCATCTTGTTATTTTTCCTTAATTACCTAGACTTCAAATAATGAATCTAAACTTTAAATAGAAAGAAGAACGAAAGCAAAATGACAGGCGCGCTAGTACTAGCCTGTAGAAGTTCTCTGATGTTTGAGAGACGACTTCGACACAACTATCTACCTCCGACTTCATGAAGAAGAGGGTACCAGAGAGGAAGTAACTGTCAACTTTAGAAGAACGAAAGGAAGACACCTCACTTATAATGCTCAAAAAGGGGAGAGACAACTACAACGAAAAGGGGAGAAACAACTGCGACTTGCCACCATCTCCTGCGAAAATATTCTGAAAGGAAGGGCTCAAGCATTGATTTGATCATACCACTTCCATCAATCCAGAGATCCAAAGCGATAGAGTTCAACAACCTTTCCTCCAAGATGGCTAGCACCTGCTTGAATTTTCATTCGCATACCAGAAAGGATGCCAGATTAGAGATATTTCAGACACGGCCATGATCATGAAAGGCGAACAGCACTATTCGGCCGATGACTTCCTGTAACGCTATTCGGCTAAAAATCCATGGCACCTGGCCTGCAAAGCCGAGAAATTTCAAGTGGCTATTGATTTGAATTCTATGTTGTTCTTCTAGGAAGCCACTTTTTTATTTCATGCCTCTATGTAAATATGCTTGCGTCAGCTATGTTTTTATGCACGGTGGTGAAAAATCTACGTAAAACCATGCCAGGAAGATATGCACATACTCTCTTGTAATTTTCTAGTAACGAGTAACCGTCAAGAATTGGTGAAGGTTACTCTGACCTTCAACAATATCCTGGGAAGGTTAGTATCTGTTTTCACCACGTCTAATGTGTAGACCCACCTTCTACTGTTGTGATGATGTAGATTGCGATGTATTCTGTGATGTAAGTAGTTCTTGCGATGTCGGCTCCTGTGCTGGGAGTCTTGAATTAATATTACTAAGTTCGAGTCTTGAATTACTACTAAGTTCGGTGAGAAGCCGTGAGCGGTGCGAACCTGTATTACTTCCACGCGCACTATTTTCATGCGAAGACGACGACGCAGATATCAGACTCGTCGGTAGCATGTTCAAAACGGCCGCACCAAACGCCTCGATCTCTTGATCTGGTCATTTTTAGTAGATAAATTTTAGAAGACTGCAACATGGACATCAAAGGAGGAAATATGAGAATAAAATTCTTTTAAGTAGGTAAAATGCGAATAAAAACAAAACGGCTTTTCACAGAAGTGCATCCTTGCTTAGGTCAAATCATGATTCCTACTTAGGTCAAACCTAAGGAAGTCTACAATCTTTATGATGAGTCCTACCTGAAGATGACGCCGTCTCAGCACCAGACGCCGCGCCGCTTCCTGCGCTAGCAGAGGTGCTTCCAGCCTCAACGCCCTTTGAGTCCTCCCCTTCCGTCTCGCTGGAGGAAGAGACTTGGGCTTGGGCTGTAGCTTCGCGGTCCTCTGCCCCATTTGGAGAGGTCGGCTCGACACTACTTGCTGAACCTACTAGTGCAGAATATGACTGCTCAACATCAACTCGTGTTGTAGCAGCATTATCGGAGAGGCTAGTAGCCGATGCAACCACAGGTCCTTGTTGTACTCCAACAACAGGTTCTTGTTGTACTTCTCCCTCTTCGCGTTCTTGACCTTGGTGATCACAGACTGCTGGTCCCGACACAGCAGCAGCAGCAGCCTCTTGCTCGGTTCCACCTCCACTAAGCTGTCCTCGAAACACTCGCGAGAAGACGTAGAGTCCTAGATAAACGTGGACGCCGAGAGCCAACACTGTACCGATGAGAGTGCCAGGGTTGGTAGACGGACCAGGATGTTGATCTTCAGGCGGTGCCAGTGGGTCTTTCATACCACTCTCGTCACGAGCTCCTGGTGGCATCTGTAGTTGTTAGAATGTCAAAATACCGAAAAAGAATGGGACCCCTGGATCGACCGCATCTTGCTGATGCTCGCAAGAATACATCTTGAGACTCATCTTGGTCCTCCTCCCTGTTTATACTGTTGATCTTCATCCTGGTATTCAGATCCCTAACACATATTCTCTGTGGAAAGACAGGGAGTACACCAAAATGTTCTTGCTGGGGAAACTACTAGATGCAATCAAAAGGTCGTGGCCTTAAAGTTGACTGCCCAAATCAGCGGGCGGTCCTCCTTGTGGAGAAGAACTATCCGGTTGATGCACGAGGAGGATCGGCGGTTGGTCGGGATGTGCTGGGTCCACAACCATGGTTATCTCAGGTTCGGCCTCAGAAGGATTGTCCTTACCTTGCTCGATCTCAGAAGGATTGTCTTCTCCAGGAGGCGGATCATACTCGGGTAGACCTACAGGCGGATTGTCGTCGAAGAAATCTTAGAGGTAGGTTTTTGGTGCTCGCTTACCCCGCTTGTTTTGCCTTTCTCCTCCTAAGGGAGAGAGGCATAAAAAGCGGTAAGAAAAGCACCTTTATTAAACTACCCTTAAAAATCTTCACCCGGATGTTGGTGATGGTGCTGACCTCCAAAGGGACCAAGAGGACCAAGGCCTCCAGGATGATGGCCAAGACCAGGCTGGTGATGGTCGAATTCGAACCCACCTCGTCCCGGAGGTCCAGAATGATGGTGACGACCAAACGGATGAGGATCGTCAATGCCCATACCAGGAGGCGGCCACTTCTGGCCACGACCCACGCCAATGCCAGGAGGCAAAGGAATCGGAGGAAGCAATCCTACACCAGGTACCATCGGTGGATTGTAGTAACGCTGCCTGTAGTTGTTGTGAAGGCGATTTTGCTTGTTCATATTCTTCTTGTGGTTGTGAAAATTGATGTTGTCATCTTGCGTAGCTCCTCTACGATGAGACCTCTTCTCGTCAGAGGACGTTGATGGTCCTACTACTCCTTCTTTCATCTGCTCATCATTGTTGTGATGCGTAGAAGAAGAAGAAGATTTTGCACTCCCATACGAATTCTCCTCAGGAGCTTTAGTGTTCACTTCCCCATGAGCCTTCTTCCCACCACTTGTCCCCGTTTCAGGCTCTTCAGCGGCCTCTATTTCTCCTGCTGCTGGCGGCTGCAATGCCGCACGTTCGTCAGCAAGACTACGACCTACATTGCTTCCACGACCCTGAAAGCCGTGATTGGTCGAAACCTGCGCGAAATCTTCATCTGCGTGTACTCCTATGGGACCCGCTTTCGCCGCAGCGTGGTTTACTAGAGGCACAGGGCCATCAGCAAGGAATTTGCTGGAGTCTACGATTTTCTCCACTAGCTGTTCCTCAGGATTTTCCCCAGCAATCGTTCCACCATTCTCAGCCTCATCAGCAGCTTTTGCCACTTTATTCGCTGTTGCTGCATCATGATCTTCTGTCGCACTTGAGGCTTTGCTTTGTCCGAAAATCACACTACTGGCAGGATCCGCACTAGCATCACCATCAGTCTCACCCACAGTCGATAGTGAAGGTGCCTGTAAAATAAAAACGTAAATCTTTAGAAGGTCGCGTTTGAGGAGATTTTCAAACTTATGATGAGGAGGTATTGTCGAGACGAGACTTTTTAACAGGATCTGGCTTAGTAGTGTAAATCAGAGATTGATGATGTTACTCGATTAGATCTGTCTGCCAAATTCGAGAAATCAGAGACTATATACCTCATTCCCATTCTCATGCGCATCTGGGTCGTAGGGATCTCCGTGTAAGGCATCCTCCATGCCCGCGTCGAAATCGTGGGCGCTTTTCTTACTGTCCTGTATCGAAGCAGCTTCCGCGTCACGCCCGACCCGCATTAGATCGAAGACACTGCCTGTTGTCCCTTTATCATTTTGTGCTGGAGTGGCAGTGGGTACCGACGAGGCGTCTGTTGCTTGCGCGGTGTCTGTTGCTTGCGCGGCGTCTGTTGCTTGCGCGGTGTCCGCTGCTGGAGTGGCTGCTGACGAGGCGTCGGTTGACGACGCATCGGCTGATGAAGCGTCTGTTCCTGGTGCTGACGATGGGTCCGCTGTGGCTGGGGAAGAGTCATCTGAGGACGACGTCGACGGTGTTGAGTCATCTGAGGAGAACGGAGTAGACGACGTAGACGGTGCTGAGTCGTCTGCTGTAGAGGAGGCAGTGTCAGATGCAAAGCTAGTCTGCAGCAACGATCCACCACCTCTCTTCTGCAAGTAGGTGGTGGAAGGCAGAAAGAACTCATTCAGTTCGGCCAACGCCGAGCAGAGCTCGCGAGACAGGACTCCTGGCATCGTTGTGAGTGTGTGTGGTTTATGGCTACTGAGCAGTGTTTATGGCTACTGAGCAGTGTGGATGGAAATACTACGTGCACACCTAAATGAAGATGCAGAGGAACTGTAATAATGCCAACTGCGACCACTCTTACTCAACTGCGCTGACTACTCAGTGCTGTAGTACCAAGATTGTGCTGTGCTTCTCTATATTCCTAGAGATTCTGACTCTAGGGAACAGAACATAACAACGCACTACCACACCGACAAAACCGACACCAAAACCGATCCTATTCAGGTAGGTTTACTCCGGTTAGTAGATATTACAACGAGGAACCGAGTAAAGAGTAGACAGACCAGGATCATTTGTTCATGAGTTTGACACCGATAAGGACACAGGCAACAAGAAAATGATCCTGTTTCAGTAGTCCAACAAGAAAATGATCCAACAGAAAGATAATCGAATCAATATCATTTGTGATTCGTAGACCGACAAAGTGTCACCGACAAGTCTTGACTCATGATCATTCCACCTGAAAGCGCATATTGGCACACGCTGTAGTGACAGGATGTGTCCTTTGCTAGTACGAAAATCTTGAGGCTTCCGCACCAGAGATTGATACCACACGCAACTCGCGTAGCAATCATTTTGTTTTTATCGTAGTGCTCGCGACTACTATTACATGACATGATGCCACTATAATCCATTCTGAATCATATGTGAAGGAGCTCGCTTTCCTTCTCTGTTGCTAGAGAAGCTTTCCATTTTTTATGTTCATTAGCCCAATGGTAACAGAGTAAATAGGTAGATCTTGGCAATGCTCTTCTCCAACTAAAGCGTACAGAAAATAGTCGCCTGTGCATTCTCCAGCTGTGTCTGTAGCCTTGATTATGAAGTGTTTTAGTTGCAATGTTTTAGTAGTAAATTTACCATGAGATGCTATTCAACGGAAAAAGGCGACAAAAAATTCTGGTGACATTTTGACCTTTGCGGCCGTTCCTTGGACGAGCCGCATAGGAAAACTTTTAATTTGAATGATAGGAATCATGCAACTGTGGAAATCAAGGATGTTGACCACTATGGACGTGGAGGTGTCTCTACATCGATAAATTGTTCAAAGCTCAACTATATCAGGTTATGCTACCAGCTCATGTACTAGTGATCTGACTTCTAATCCTATTCGATGAATGTGTTATGACCAGAATGACACCAGAATTTAAGGTTTGTTGTATCGGAGAAGACTTACCAAACTTCGATGGCATCAAGAGAGACGCATGTGCCGCCGTCTCTAACGAGTATCGAGTGTATCTAACGAGTAAAAAATGGCAGCAATGACCGATTTATACATTGAAGACTGTGAGAATTTCCTTAACATGGTATGCGTTGTGCATGTTTTTGCAGCGTCGTGGTAGCGCTATCTGTGGGAGCCCTTGTGGCTCCACTAGGTTAACATGACATTTAAGTAAGATGAGGGATCTATTCGTGATCTATGGTAAAAAGTGAAATATTGAGTGCAAGTGCAATAGTCTACATTTATAATAGGGAAAGAACTGAGTTATGCACATCTGAAAAGAGAAGGACTAACACCTCAATCGAAGACTCTATGTCCCCATCGCACTGGGCCGACTCCTGGCATGCGGAGATTACTCATTTTTGCACACGCAGTGGCTGCTCGTGTGTACGGCAACTTAATCTCGTTGCCTCGCATTGTCGGTCGTGTTCGGTTGAGGGCTCTAATGTCCTCTAAATTGTCCTGCTGTAATAGCCACGGACCCATGGTTCGCTGTCCGAAGTCCTTGGCGTCTTGTCCCCTATCGTAAGCCGCAAAAACCTCCCTAGCGTACTCCTCAGACGTAAGAACGGAAAGCACGTGGAGACCTGTTGTTGCTTTTCTCAGCATTTTTTCTCGACAACATGCTAGATGTAGTTCAATTGATGACTAGTATCTAGAAGAACCTTTCTCATCCTGATTTTGATCAATAGTACCATAAACAGCCAAGTCACAACAAAAATCATCAACGACTTGGAACACTCTAAATCATTTTTAGACTTTGTGCGCACGAATGTGATTGCAACATGCATGCCGTTTCTAAGGTAAAAACCAAAAGCCACGCCATGGTGTGACTGTTCAAAAATACTTTGCTTCTATTAGTAGATACCTTCCGCCATCGCGTCTGGATCCGGCTGCAACGGCCTAGTTTTCTTGTGGACATATTTGCGCAACACTTTTTCCGCAAACTGCTCTCGGAACTCTAGTATCCTATCTAGGAGTAGCTCCTTTTCTTTTTAGAGCTACCGCTGAGACTCATATCCTTGAGACTCATATCCTTGCGAACCATATCCTTGAGACTCCTTGGACCCTTCTTTTTTCCCCTTAAAATTAAGGAAGCCCAGGATGGCGTTGGCGTCGAAGAAGTGGATTCAGCGGTAGCCTTAATGTTTTTCCAGGTCGAAGATTTCAGACCTCATGTGCAATTTCCTCTCTGGTACACGAGGTTTGGGTATTGCGGGAGCCGCTTTCGAGTCGAAATTCGCTTCCATCGCGCGTCTGGTAGGACCGTCCACGGAGGTTAGATGGGGATGATGAGTGTTACAGTGGCCGTTTTGTTTTTTGCTCTACAGGTCGTGGTATTGTTTTCTATTCAATATCAAGTTGTTTAGCTTAGGTTAGGCTGGGACCTACCATCCGACGTGGCAGACTTTAGCGGCTACTGAAGAGCCTAGCAAACATGCCAATCTAGATCGAAAGCGATTGTTTGTGTTTCTGCATCGCTCATAACAAAGCCGTCAGCGCTTCCGCCCGTGATCCTGCCCGCCCGTGCTTCAATGCATAATGCTCCTTCAGCCCTGACCAGCTACCGGTGATGCCTGATGTTCAAGATCACGAACATATGTAAACCGCAAGATGTGTAAACAAAGCTATCAAAATGTAATTCCCTAAACGAGCTGTAAGCAGTTCCTACGAAGTACCTACTGGAGTAGTTCTTGGAAATGCGTGTACTGAGTAAGTAGTCCCGAAGAGTATGATCTAAGTAGTCCCTATAAATTGTTGTAGAGCCGTAAGGAGAAAAATAGAAACACGAAAAGTAGTCACTATAAATTGTGGTGGAGCCGAGGACCTAACTAGAAAAGAGAAAGACCAGAGGAAGATAGAAAAGAGAAAAGGGTAACTATCAACAAGTATCCTGAAGACAAGTACCACGCACAGGTAGCCTAAAATTTAGGTAATTGAAGTACCACTTGACCTTAGGTAAAAAACAAAGAAAACAAGAAAAATCGAAGTGTTTGCTAAAAGTAGTCACCATATATAAAGGATAAGTACCTAGATAATGCTTCCGGAGCTGCGCTAGGTTTAGATCCAAGTCAAACAACTGCATTTCTGCCCTGCAATAGTCTATCAAATCCTTCTTCATCGGAAGTGACACGTCTACCTTTGGATTTGGATTTGGAGACTTGAAAAAGAAGTTTGGATCTGGATTTGGAGTTTCTTTTTTTTTTGTATTCTCGGGCTACTGAAAGAGCTGCCTCAGCTTTATCCAGTTCGCAAACCGGCGGCAGGCGGAGCTTAGTGCTCCTCTACCATTCTATTCCCTACGAACCCGCCGATTTTAAAATGATCAAGAAACTATTTCTGGCTAAAGAAGGCAACATTCACGAGCCTCATGTGGTTGATAAAGTTTGATGACCTACGGGTATCAACTACCACGACAGGTATTTGGCCTAAGACGATGGTATTGTCACCTGCAAATTGTTGTTCACTCGCTCGAGGATGTCTGCGCAATCCAGGGTTATCAATTCCCGAATCAGCAGTCGAATCAACTTCCCACTCCTAGTATAGCTCAACGCCTCTGAGAGCTTCTGTGTCCGGACTAGCTGCGATTCTCTTGCTATGTGCTTAACGTCGGTTAACTCCATCCTATTGAGAGAGGTGTATGTTTTGCGTCAGCTATAAGGCTCCATCCTGTGGAGAGAAGTGTTTTCTATGCACTGATGTTCACGTGAGGTTTTTTCTATGCACGATACCATGATGTACTACGTTCGTAGCTGAAAAAACGGTCTTTGTAGGAGGTCAGCCGAAGCTTATTCAAATGGAGAGTTTGAACTCAGAGATAAAAACTCCACGCAATTTGCTTAGAAGGAAATTCCAATACAAGCATCTCCTCAGGTTTCTCGTCTGTAAGAGACCATGATGCCCTCCTACATGGTTGAAAAAACGAGGTTTGTAGAAAAAACTAGATTTTGTCAAATCCAATACAAGCATCTCCTCAGCCTCGCCAAACTCTGCGTGCATTCCCGTTCGCAGGCGCTATATTTCTTAACCCATTCTGTCATATTTTTGTCCTCCTCGGTTCTTATTTTCATCTTATCAATCGCGCTTTTGCCCAGTAACTCCCTGTCCGTCCGCCGCCTTGGCATTCCCAGCTCTAACTCGTACTTCTCTCGCAAGACATCCTTCGTGTGCTGCTGCAAGAGGGGTTAGAAAGAGCGAGGATCACAAAACGTTATTCATTTAAAAGTCTTTCTAGTAATAGACAACGCAATATCCTTCCCACAATATCCTTTCCAGTAGTCACGGAATCCTCCGATCGATGTTCTCCACCGCAACATTACTTATACAAATTCAGACGAGGATTTAACTAAAGATGTCTTGTCCGCTTTAGTGTCGAAAGGCAGAAGATTGTCCATAGTTCTTAGAAAATGTCTTCATAATCACTAGTAGACTTGGTCATCGCGTTCCGCTCTAGATGTATTTTCTCCATCAGTTCATCGTGCTTCGTGGTCTGCCACTGGTTCGGTATCTGCGTGTCGCTAAAATTCCTCAGCTGGTACTTGATCTTATTGTAGATGACTTGGCCCTTCCGTGTTTGGTGCTCGACTTCTGCCAGATTCGAGGGACCTAGAAATGTGCGTAAAGTTGTCGAACAGCAGACAGAGTAGTAGAGTTGTCGAACCAGAAATACTACTAGCAGACAGACAGCATGGTACCAGTAGAGTTGTCGCACACAGTAGACAGATTTGGATTTGGATTTGGAGAGTAGACTGTACCCACTATATTCGCATGCTCCAAGGTGCTGGGGTCTTTGGTGCCATCGGCATTCACTAGGTGGGAATCTCGTATGTAATCTACTATTTTCTCCTTCTTCCCTAATGATCGCACCTCCCCCTCTGAGTTGTCGGGAAAGTCGCCTGCTAGAGGATTTAACCTGATGGAGATTTTCTAAGTAGTAGGCTACTTAGCATCGGATCGATATTCAGATATTCAGATATTCTTTCTAATAGATAACCTGATAGTAGGCTACTTAGTATTTAACAAAAGCTGCTAGAGGATTTAACCTGATTGGTGTTACCAGAGCTACACTCGAAAGAATGAAAGTGTTCATTCAATCACTCTTCATTCTGTGCTCACAAAAGATCTTACTGTAGTTCTTACTGCTTACCGTTTATGTTTATGTTTATTGTTTCCGTAGAGATTTTGGTGCTACGGAAAGAAGTACTACGGAAGAGATCTAAAATGCCTACGGAAAGAAGAACAAGTCTGAAGCAAATACCGTTTATGTTTATTGTTTTTCGTCTCCTCCTTCGCAAAAGCGAGGTCTTCCTTGGTGGCCAGCAGCACATCCGGTGCTGGCTCGTCTTCCGTCTTCACTGAGTAATAATCCACGTTCCGCATCAGATTCCGCATATACCAGTGAGTCTTGTTCCGCATGCCCCATGATCGCTGCCACAACGCCTCCTCAATGTTGGGGAGAGGATTAGAGAATGTATAGGGAGTCACTGTAGAGAGGACTCACATATTCCTACGACGCTCAGAAGTTACAAGTAGAAGTATAACGTCAGTGTCTTTGATAGGTTAGGTTAGGTGTGGGTCCACTAGGTAAACCAGCAGACTTCAGTGGCTACCGAAGAGCCAAAAACACGACTACATCACGAACCAAGTCTAGGAAGCATCCAAGCATAATGTTTTGCGACCGAGGCTTGCTGCCTCGGGGCCGCCCTTTCGAAGGCGGCTGTGACATCTTGTGGCCTAAAGACTGACCACCCCAAATTTCTCCCTACTCCTCCTATGCTTCTGCCAGTATTGGAAGTTTTGCTTGAGAGGATCTGAATGTCATAGAGCAATATTTTTCTATAGTGGAGAAGAAACTGCTATGAAATCTTTAGATGAAGGATAAAGCAGATTACATGCGCAGCTTATTTTTTCCTAATTGCCTTTCAGCTTCCTTGAGCGATAAAAGCGTAGCTAGTATTTCTCTTCGGAACATCAGTTCCCGGAAGCAATACATCAGCCCACTTTTCTTTCCGCATGTGCCTTCCCAGCAAAATCTAGATCAATCAGCGCGAAAACAAACTGTAATACTACAATGCCATTTTGACCATGCGTTGTTCTTAGAATCAAGGGATTGAGTAGCCTCAGGTCGGAATTGTAGAGAGATCATACAGACCTACGCGGGACCTCTAGAAGATAACAAAAAAGGGAAATATGTGTCTCAAAAAAACTAGCCGCGCGAAGATGAATTCTATTATGTGACCATTCGAATCATGTGAAAATATGTTACATCATGATAAGTAGCAAAATCTATCTTTTTTTCACCCAATCAATGAAGAAAAGCCTGAGTTTCAGTCAACATGTGAAAATCGATGACTTACTACAGATAAAGATGTAGAAAAAACCTTTCACGAGAAGTAGAGGTTAGTGTGAACATGACATAGTGGCATACTCATATTTCTTTGATCTCTGCTGATGGGACAAAGCTAATCCTCTTGTTTCTTCATGGTTGGTAAAAAAAGTGCCACAATATCTTTCTGCTCCATCCTAGTCCTCGTCTGTAACGCAACATGCATCTTCGTCCCTGACATCCTACTACAAGTATAGAGAAAAAGTTCACAAGAAACCCAGCAACCACCCTCTACCGCCTAAACAGCTGATCATCTGACTGCTCGTGAACTTGCACTGGTGAAGCTAAAGTCGTCCAAGAGCTTTTTTCTAGCTGCAAAAAGACCGGAGAACGACGTTGCCCCCCCTTCATCTACCGTCGTGCTCACACTGCCGTCCTCTGGTGATGCGCGAGGGTAGATACTAGTACTCTTAGGGATAGCAGGTTTACCTAGCTCGCTCGCATATCTATGGATCCTTTGCCCCCTTGAGAATGAAGGTCATAGAGATGCTCATAGCGAGGTCAACTTGCTTCCCTTAACACTCTTTTTCCCAGCCGCCGTTGTTGTAGGCACTGTTGCTGTATTCGCTTTGCTTTTGAGGTCATCAAACATCGTTGCACCTTGAGATGACCTCTGCAAGTGCGATGTAGCTGAGGTAGTAGTAGTACTTCGGAACTCGTCTTCGTCCACGTCACGGTTGTCCTCAACACCTTTCGATGTCTTTATCATACCTCTACAACTACTAGCAGCACTTTTCAACGTTGATGTTGTATTTGAGAAGTTGCTCATGCCATTTCCTGCTGACGATGTGGTTTTCAGCGTCGAAGATGTTGCCTCAGCGTCCATCCCCTCTCCGACTTTTCCTGGGAGAATTAGAGCTCACCCTAATCCATCTTTCCTCTTGAGGCCGTTCGTTCCAAGAAACGATGTCTTTCCTCCTTTACAATTCGACACTAAGGTAACATCACGTCGCCTTTCAGAGAAATAGACCCGACAGCAGTAGCGAGAAGACCACTGATGCAGCACGGAAACACACACTTACGGATGGGAAGTTCACCCTTAGCTGGGTGAAACGTGAGCTGGGTTAAAACAATAAGGCTTCCCCTAATCGTCCATGACTTGAGGCCGTTCGCTCCTTAGGGAATATTAATCCTAAGGTGCTTCTGGAGATGGACGATTAGGGGAAGCGAAAGCCATTCACGCACATCCCAATCCAGTGAATTCGCGGAAGTCAAGTTCTTTCATCATTAATAGCAAAACGACCAGAAAGTCACAAAGAAATCAGCATAAAGCCCAATGCTCTAAATCACACGAAGGAATGACAATCGAGAGTCGGAGTCGCACGCTAAAATGCATACTAGCAAGAAGAGTGGAGCCCATCCCTCACGCTCTGAAAGGTGCTTCTGGAGATGGACGATTAGGCCTTAATAGAAAAAGCTCTGTTTCATCCGCCTGCTCTGCAGTACCTCCTACTACTTTGCCAACGTCCTCGTCAGCAGGCGCTACCACGTCAGCGTCGTCACTGCTTGCTGACGACGCTGAAGACGATCCTCCTGCCAGTACCTCAAATAGGTCGATCTTTCGTTGTGCGGCGTTGAGATCTAGAGTGAGACGGAAGTTTTCTTGAGCCAGGTCCATATTCGCATCCTCGAGTTCGTCTACGCATTCACGTGCATAGGCCATCTCTTAGAGCTAGTACCACGTCACATCCTCCTTGAGAGTCATATCTTTGAGCTTTTTCTTCGTGAAAAAGACGCTAAGAATCATAATGTAAGGAGATACTCTCTAGGGGATGCTCAAATGCTTAGATTGGTCACCATAAATCTCCAATTGGTGCTGCTCTGTGTCTTCCTTTGTGTAGTTTTCTAATGCTCCGAGTACTGCGTCAGAGGTGCTGGAAGACGCCCATTGCGCCTCTGCGACGTCGCCTTTCAGAGAAATAGACCCGACAGCAGTAGCGAGAAGATTTTTCACCTGTTTCAAGATGGAGAAGAGGATGGTGCAAAACATCAGAGGTCCTGTCGTGTAGAGAAAAAGGTATAATTTGATCCAGGCTAAGCAGAAATATTTCCTCCGTCCAAAACCAAAAGAACCAAATCCAAGCCCTTCTCTGAGTACCTTCTCTTCCAATTTCGGTACAAGGTTACACCGTAATCGCTCCACTAGGTTGCTGCGGTCCTCGTCTTCAGCCTCCTCAAAAGCGTTGGATTCCATAGTGTCGCCTAAAATATCGCATGCCGCTGAGTCCGACGCACAGGAGTTCAATATCGCAATTCCGTCGCTCGTGTATCGCAATAGGCGTGTTAAATCGCCCACGACGCTGTTGAGTTCACGCAACTCTTTTCGCTCGCGCGCCTCGAGAGCCAAAGCGTGCTGCTCTAGTTAGAAGTTGTTCCCGATATCCCCCATCTAGAGAATGCTCATCTTACTCGGACCCATCTTTAATCAACATTTTCATCATCCTTTTGAAAACTACAGCACGTCCAAGATACACATGTTAGTCTTAAGAGAAATGTTGACAACCTATTTTTAGTCTTAAGAGAAATGACAATCTGTATTTGTAGAAGGAAGCCTTTTAAGATAAACTACTTACTCGGCTATTGTGTTAATTACTTGCTTATTTGGAGTATTCGAGTATTTGTCATTTGTAGAAGGAAGCCTTTTAAGATAAACTTAATCTAGAAAAAAAGCCTTAATCTAGAGCTTCTGTTTTCTCAGCAATAGCGGCTTTTTCCGCTACAACAGTATCCCTGATCTCCAATAGCTTGCAATCGCCATCAAGCCGTTCTGACGTGAGTCCGTGTACCAGACGGTCCTAACAAAGTGTATGTTGAAGAGAGATGAAATTTACTCTATGCGACGCCCTTAATTAGCCTCCGAATTCAAGAAACTCTTTCTCTTCTTGAGAAAAAAGTCAGTATGTTGAAGAGAGATGAAATTTACTCTGCAGCTAGTACCATTACCTATCAAGGTTTGGACATTTGATGTTGCATTGTATTCATCTCCAAAACACAAGCAGCATATTTCTATCAAAAATCCTGCACCCAAGTACTTGTACTTAATAGCTTTTATAATAACACTCACGTTCGGTATACCCATTTTTCAGGAGGAGAATATTTCTAAATATGAGAATACCTGCATTACGCTAAGGACGTCCATATCTTGCAAATAGCGAGAGGCACGGTTCTTCAAAATCTCAGCATATTCCTCTTTTAGAGTGTCCACAGCCGCGACGTGCCGCTCCTTTTGCTCCTCCATCTCTAGTCGAAGGGCCGCGCTCTCATCTACCTGAAAATTAGGTGAGACGAGGGTGTGATGCAGAAGATGTGTCTGTTAGAGAGCATCATACTGCATCTCAAACGACCATACTAGCCCAATGGCGGGTCTTAGAGAGCAGTGCAGATGTAGGAGTAGTAAAATCAGAATTGCTGCAATAAAAGTCCTCTCCTTCCTCATCTTCTAGTTGTAGTACTTCATGACGTTTTTGTGACAGTTAACTACCGCTTCCGCATGTAGTTTGTTGATATCGATCAGTGCGCTGCGCATTTGCAACAGCTCTGTGTCCTGTTCGGCTTCTGCCTTTGCCAGTCGCAAAACTTTCGACTCCATTCGCTCGATTTTTTCAGCCTACTATGAAAGCCCAGAGGTGCTGGTGGTGGTGATATATTTAGTATTATGAACAATGGGATATTAAACTGGCCTAGAGGTAGACAGAGGGGTAGAAGCAAGTCAAAACGGAAAATTGTTCCACATAAGCGAAAGTGTTCCTCCTTCTCCTTCGTGTTATCAATCGTTGTAAATCAGAATATTAGATTCTCTATGCCATGCTCATAGCCGTCTTTAATATCATAAGTATTGACTCCGGACTTTATCGACCTCATTCGAAATTCTGGACTCGCATTCGTGACGGACAGACTCTGCTTTCTCTTCGCATTCTGCTCTGATGTTCTCGACCTCCAAACTCTGTGTCACGAGCGATTTATCCCGCGCGTCCTCGAGGGAAACTATCTTGCTCTGTTTGATGGGTCGTTGAGGATTTCTGGGGAGAGGAAGTTATACCAAAAAACTCGGAGTAGAATTTGAAGGCACGAGTGATTAGTGAGGAGAGAAGACTAGTAACTACTAAAGTAAGCACTATTGAAGAACAAAGGTGCAGTCGGTAAAGTCCTTATACCAAAAAACTCGGAGTAGAATAAAGTAAAGTCTGCTCTTGTTCATCTTTCATTTATATCCCCAGCAATCATTTAAATAGCTTTAAATCCAAAGAGTGTAAGGCATTGATTTAACGAGCTTGTTGATGAGGTTGAGAAGCTTTCGGCTTTCTGCTTTCCCTAAATAGATACCTGCAAGTATTCCCCCAATCATTTAAATCGATACCTGCAAGTATTCCTTCTCTTCTTGCAGGAACTTAATCTGCCTCATCCGGCCACCCCACAACTCGTTAAACTCGGACTCAATGCCGTCACGCTCTTTGTCAATCCTCGCACGCTCCTCCTCTGAAACCTCTAGCCTGGGACGAAAGAGAATGAATTATGATGTAAGTAGATTCTTACTAGTATAACCTGAACAACTATCTTCACAATCATGTTGAAGCATAGCTAAGAACTAAAAAATGTTCACCATTATGATGGCTTACACACATCATCAATATTTAACTAAACATAGCTAGTAGTAATACAACATCAGTATCAGCCTGCTACAAGAAACCTAAAAAATCTTTCCTACCTAGCCAGATATTCCGCGGCCTCATCCTCAAGTGCTGCTTTTTGCTTTGCTAACAGCTCATTGCGACGCTCCAAATCATTCAGTCGGTCCTCCAAGTCACCTACAGTGTTAGAGGTGCCCCCGCACCTGCATCCGTGGTAGCAGTGAATCGTGTCCTTGGCCTCTTTTTCTTTTGATCATCTGGTTCTCTTGGATTTTCTTGTTCTGAAACTCTGTTTTCACCCAATTTCCTCATCTACCAAGGATGATGCTGAGGTTGATTCAACGGTAGCCTTAACAGTGAGAGTCTTCTCATTCTTGTTATACTGCAAGGCGTGGCGCAAGGTGCGGAGCTCAGCTGAAAATTAGATGAAGCGGTCCTTCAGTCGTAGTTGTCGTTGTCCCATTTTAGTACTGTGAAGAATTTGAGAATGAACTCTCAGCAAGATAGCAGCTGTTTGATCTTGCTGATCCTACGGGTGGAGCCAAGCTAACTAGGAAAAAAAGGGTAAGGTTAGGTAAAGGGTATATAAGTACAGAACTATAGTAATGGCCAAGCTAAGTAGGAGTTGAGAATAACTATTTGATACGCATCATAATGCAAGCTTCCCCTCTCTTGTTCGGCTTGTATCCTTGTTTCGCGTAGCTGTAATTCTGCTTCTCGTCGCGCATTTTCGCTGAAGGAGAGTCGCTTTTCGACCTCACATAACTTAGAGTTCGTTGCGACATTTTTGCCTTCTTCTTGGAGCCCCTTTCCTACTGACCCCTTTCCTACTGGAAAGCAAGGTAAAAAGGATGGTACTAGTGAAGAAGGCAATGCGGTAATCGTCCTTAAATAGCCGAGTAAAGGTTTCATGCGCCAGCAAGTCTCCCGGTCCCTGCGGGAGGGAGGAGGAGACGTGAGACGGCATCCTGTCGCAAGTTCTAATAGATCTGGTTACTCGATTTTGAAAAAAACAATGTTATAATTTTGAACTTGAAAATATTGGATCAGTTGCAGAAAACACTTGCAAAGATGAAACAAAATTCAAAACCAACAAAGAAACTACTAGTCTGTCTACTAGAAGATGAATATATATTGAAAGTTGTAAACCCAGGTGGTAAGTGATCTCATGGTATTCTTGTAGTAGACGTCATGATATACTAGAAGATGAAATAAATCTTTTTATTTAGTGACAACATTTGTTTCCGCCTATACATCCAAAAATTTTCAAATTTGGGGGCTTCCCAAGAATTAAAAGTGGGACCAATTTGCGGGTGTTACTAGAAAATTGCACAGATTTTGTCCGAACTGAAACAGATTACCGACTACACATGTGGAGGCGGTCAGACGTGAAATTTACACTCTCGACGCCCATCAAAACACTGCTATGTGTCTCCTTTTGATATTGGCTTTTTTCATTCTTATGCTTCCGTGTGGTCGTTATGGCTTCTTAGTACTTCCTTTTCCTGAGAGACTCGCGTCTATCTGATCGAAAGTCTCGGCAAAGAAATTCAGGTTAAGTTTCCCAAAGAAACCTAAGGTCATTGAGCCCTACCCTGAATCACAAGAAGGCGCGTCCGCGTTTGGTAGAATCTTACACATTGTAGATGTCTGTCTCCAAGGCAGTAGTAGATTTTGAAGTTACGTAGTTGAAAACGAAGTCACAATCGCACATGTTCGAAGAAAAATCACAAGTGAAGAAAGTCAAGTATTCGTGCACAGTGGCCTCGTGTCAAGACGTGGTAAGTGTAGTCAACATGTAGGTAACGCGCGATCTAAATGATCCATTGAAGTTGAATGCAAGAACTTTCTATGCCCATTCCATCGCCTATGCCCATTCCATCGCCTCCAGTTGCAATGCCCTTGAAGAAGCGCTGCTCCCTGGCGAATCCTTGGAAGTCGGAGGTTGATCTCTTCCAGACTGACCTCCGCCACCAGGTGGCCCTGAGCTACTTGAGGATCCTGGCTGCGCGCTGCTAATACTCGCTCCTTGGTGGGATTAGAGGAGACGAAGCGTGAGATTGTGCATATTGATATTCTAATGATAATATCGAGGGTTCCGCGTGCTGTTGAATGATTGTAGTTACAGAGAGAAGATCCAGCGTAGTTTTTACTTCACACTGTTGAACTTTCATCATGGATAAAAGGTCCCCTTACTATCAGAGGCTTTTGAAGAACAAGGCGCTTTCTTAATATACCTCCTCGATGAAAAGATTAGCGATTCCGACATGATTGCCCAGCTGGAGGAAGATGAACGTGCTGACCTAATAAATCAATCAATTCTAAAATAAATCAAAAAAATCATAACTCTGCACGTCGAATTTAAAGCAGAGCTCCAAGGGATTGCAGCTTCGATAATAGCGCCAGTCATTCAGAAGACTGCTTCCCATTCCTATTGTGGAGCTGCCTCCACCCAGATTTGATGCTGGTCGCGGCCATCTATCGCCATGCGTTACAAGGATAGAGGTAGTATACGTTCGCTCGAATCGATGCGTCATGAGAAAATGAAAGGTAGATCACAAGCTTTCAAATTTAAGTTAAGCTATATTCATAAGGTAAGCTATATGCCTTAGATCATCATCTTCAGTTTCTACTCTGCATCATAGGTAGCCCCCCCTCGACATGCTGAATTTATTAAATCCAAACTCCTCGTCCCTGTGAAGTAACTATTCCAACCAACAAGATCAATATGAACGATAGGCAATGCTGACATGTAATTACTCCAACAATTACAGGGACCCATTCATAACCGATACACAAGACGTCCCCCTTTTTGCTCATCGAGGAGTCTGAATCCGACTGATCTGCTGTTTTCACTCTCCTCCGCAGTCTATGCCGCAAAGTTCGCCCATAGTCATGGAAGAAATGACTCACAATGCAGTGCAGGGGGATATTTGGCGGCATTTTCAGGACTGGAGGATCCACGGCAACGAAAGCGCTCTTCGCCAGAACCACCGGGATCGTGGGAGGCTCTGTGGCGTACTCGGCAAAGTTAGGCGCTAGCTGCGAAAAGGGCAAGTCTTGCCGCTCTTGCTCCGCAATTTTGAAAAGGTCATACGCCTCATATTGGCTAACGTCCATCACCTGGGTGGAGTGGGTGCTTTTCACATGTAAGACCAGTAGGAGCACGGAGACCCTGTGGTCTTTGCCTGCCTATGTAGAAGCAGAGCCACGGCGCCGGCCAGCCGGTCCACCGAGATCGATGGGGAGCCAGCTCTGGTCCGCCGCCGAGGAGAAGCGGCGCAAGACACGAAGCGGCCCCGCGCCAGCGAACCCGCAGAACAAGGGCACCCACCAAGCGCTCCGCCCCCGCAGCACCGGAGCGCCGGCCCCCGCGCTCTCTGCCCCATGCCTACGGAACACCACGGCCATGCCGCGGAGGTGCAATCGCCGCCGTCTCCGTGCTGTTGGCTTTGATCGTGGTCGCCCGTCTCCATGGCGTCGCCTTTCCCCGCTGGAAGACGGCCCGGCCCTTCCGCCTCCTTTTTCTTCTGCAACTGACGAAGGGGCGGAGGTGGATGGACGACCGCCCCCAGAGTCTCCCGGTGCCACAGGGCGGACGCGCTGCTTCGCTTTGGAACAGCTCGACGCAAGCGACGCCGGGCGGCCCTTTCTTTGGGCCGTCGCCGTCCGCTGTTTCCGTTTTTCCCTTTCCTAAATGCGGCACCAATGGCTCCAGTGCTGCGGCTGCCTTTAAGGAGTCCCTGCCCTCGACTCAGGCCCTCTTAGTGCGTGGAGAAGCTCCGAGGCTAAGGCCCTGCATTCTCGACAGCGCTGGGCCGGTGTCAGCCCAGTGAGTCACTGGGTGCATAAATTAACAGCACAGACAAAACTGCTTACACCCTCAGAAAAAAGCCCGAAGGCCTGCCCCCGCGAGGTGTCAAGCCTCCCGGCTGCGTGCAAAAAGCGCCGCGCACCGCTTTGGCCTTCCCAGACAGCACTGACGGCGCGCGAAGTGCCCGGCATGTTCTCCGCGGGCGCGGGTCCGGTCGCCAGGTGACGGCGCGGCATTCTAGCGGCCAAATGCTTCGCGCCGCTCTCTGATACAGACGGGGCCGAGGTCGATGACATACGGGAGCGCCAGGCAGCGAATCACGAAAGCCCCGCGGGCGCCTAAGCTGGTCCCTGCAGCCACTGCAAGGGATGGGGCGTTTTCGCTGGGGGTAAGCGCTCCTATCAGGACCGTCGCGGCCGCGGGCGCATTGGGTTGCGCGGTGCTTCGGCTTTCTCCTTCAGCTGCTCCCTCTTCTCCCTCGCGCATTTCTTGCAGTGCTGTGCCATGCTTTGGTTGCTGCCCCTTCCTTGTCAAGGCAGTCGGATGCCCAGAATACGCCCACCATGTGGCATGTGCTTGGGGGCGACCTCCGCGACAGCCGAGAGCTCGTCCTCGCTGTAGTCATGGGCTGCGTCTGATGCTGCAATCCCTCGAAGAACCTCTGTGAGACTGACCGACCGCGGCGAATGCTCTGGGAGCAGCTGCGCCTGGCTGCGTGCTTTGTTGTAAGAAAGTGCCGCGCCGTTGGTCTTGTTGATATGCAGACGCGCCCCCATACGAGAGCGGAATGCCCGCGACTTCCTTCGCTTTTGTCGGCTTCTGCTGCGACGCCGGCGCTCTTTGCTGCGAGCCCGCCCGCGGCTCGAGCGGCGCCGCCTTTGCCTACGCTTTCGCCGGGTTCTGCTGCGGCGCTGGTGCTTTTTTGCCGCTCGTGCTTCTCTGGCCGCGCTTCCTATTGGGTCGGGTGACTAATCTCGGCTGCTTCGCGGTCGCACGCTGTCCGATCACTATTATCGCGAGTTCTGCACTCCGTCCAGCGAAGAGACCACCTCGCGGCAAGTCCTCAGCGTGCTCGTCCTGGCAAGGGTGCCACCTGTAGCCACTCTAAGTGCAGTAGCAAAAGTAGAGAGCTCTTGCCCAAATCACAAAGCGCCGCGCGTGCAACCAAAACGCTCGAGCCCATGAAGTAAGTGCGTAGCGGCTTGCCCTCTCTCCAATGACTGCCCTACTCTGTAACAACTTCCGCGCCACTTCAATGACGGCACGCAAGACTTAATAACTACGACAAAGGCCCCACTAACGCCCCGCATACTAGTCGCCAGGGCGTGCGTGTGCGAGCAAAGGCCCCGAGGCTTGTACTGCGGCCGGGCAGGCGTGGCGCCTTGTTTTGGGCCAAAGTCTTCGCGCGAGTCCGCCTGCATCGTTGCAACTGCACCACCAGCACACGAGCCGCGGCGGCCGTCTAGTCCTACCGCTCACTTTTTTCCTACTACCTGAGACGCGCGCAGGTGGCCCATCTGCCTGCAGCACACCACAGAGCGAGGCAGAAGATTAAGACCATAGTCAGGCGGCCCCATCCGCTCACACTCATCGCGAAGACGAAACACCTCTCAGGCCGTGTCGTATTCCCCTGACAGAAAAGGGGCCGGCGAGCGAATGGGGCGCCCTTCGTCAAGGCACTAAGTAGCCCCCCCTATCCGCCTCGTAGTGCGTCAGTCCGAGTCCGCCGAAATGCCGCCGGAGCCTCCGAAGGCTGAGGCAATCGCCGCAAGGCAATGATAGGCGCGGCGCCTGCGATAGCTGCGGCGCTATATTCGTCGAAGCTCTCGCGCGTCGCAAGGAGAAAGACCACCGAGAGCGACCGGCGAGGCACGATCTCCATGGACCTCGTTCGCCACTGTGTACGCGACGCTGCGGCGCGTGCCTTGACTTGGAGCCCAGACGGGCCCAGAACCCTCCGCGCGCGGGCACCTTTCGGGTATTTTTTTCTTTCGTCAGGTTGTCAGCGAATCGGCCGCGGGATCGCAGAAAGGCAAGAGCCTCAGGCAATTGCGGCGAAACGCTTCGAACCCCGTCCACTGCTCGGCTATCTTGCGAGCCGCACTCCGAACAAATGCGCGCGACGATGCGCGCGACGTGGGTGGAGGCGCGACTGCTCCCACGTGCCCGTCAGGGCCCACGCCTCTGCGCTGCCCACGCTTTCAGTCTAGAGCAGCCGAGTCCGCACCCGAAACGAACGGGGGCCGCCTGCGTCGCCGTAGTCCTCTCGCGGCGGCGTCCTTCGTCGTGTCTGCGGCTTTGTGCCCGCTGCTAGGGAATGCCACGCGCGCATCCATGTCCCCCTGCTCCCCTGCCTCCAGCATTCCGCCCTCGTGGGAATTCCGGTGCCCCGAGATGACGAAAGAAAAACGGCACCACACGCAGAAAAAATGGCCCCAGTCACTAAACAACAAAACACACTCAACATTTTAATATAAGTACGTTGTGGATGTTCCCAAGATCGTCGGAGACGATGGGATAGTCGCTGCTGTAACGCCACTGGTCGTCGGCAATGAACTTGTATTGGTGCTCTTGCCTCGTAAGGTTAACCACGACATGAAACTCCAAACCACTCCTAACCATAGGTAACTTCTCTGACCAGTTGTTGAAGCTGCCAATGAGAAAAACATTCTGCCCGCCGTGTGTCCATGTGAAGACGACTGGAACCTCCTTCGTTTGCTTCGCCGGAAAATGAAGAGAGATAGGAATCGGGGACCATGAAAAGAACATCATCTTACGACAAGCCACAACGTAATATCACTTTTTGATTTTATAAATATTGTATGTAGTAACTTACTTCAAAAAAACGAGATAATGACTTAATAAACTCCCTAGACGAGTCGTAGCACTACTGCTAGATGACGCGTTTCTCTAACATAAACATTGATGCAGAACCCTATTTATGCTACTTACACTAAAATTAGATCCGTCCACCATAAGTTGCATTCGCGATGGTGGAGCTACTTGCCGGCGCAGTGTCGCTACTATCTTTGCTCTTACTCCCTTCACTCCCGCTTTTGCTTTCTGCGTTCGTTTCCATAGTAGGGGAACCACTCTTGTTGCCTCCTCGGTCCTTGCTACTACTGGCTGACGCCGTCGTCCCAACCTGTACACCTCCATTATTACTCCCATTGTTTCCTCCTCTGTCAGAGGAGTTGCTATTGTTATACGCGACAGATTTAGAAGTAGAAAAGCTAGCTTATCCACATTTCTCTAAAAAATAGATCATCTTTGATCTGTTTTTGCTTCACCCTTCAAAATAAAAGAGGTCAGAGATGCAGCTTCTCAAGATGAAAGAATCAATTACAATCAGCCTTAACAGACGCATCAGTTCCTACTGTTACTGGGCCTGCCTGACTGCCATCGTAGTTGATACTGCTAACGCGGTTCGAGTTCTCTTTGCTTAGATCTTCCTGGAATCCATCTTGAAAATCATCCTGGGTCTCCTTTTCTCTCGAAGACGTATTCCACACCCCTTTAGTTCAAGTGTTAGGGGACCAAGATGCTTCTGAAGATGTATTGCCAGATCCTGCCTTACTTTGCTGTCGTCTCTAGCCGACCGACCGGGGCTCTCCCTTGGGTCCACGCTCTTTCCACTGCCAATGCTATCCCGTGCACTCCCCACACTAGTGTCCGTGCGATGACTCTCTCGTGCCTCCCGATGGCTGTGCTCCGACGACCAGGAAATGAAAGTAGGACAAGAATTGACGTGGTCAAAAAATGCGAGGAAATTCTGGCGTATTCACGGTCGCGGAGGTGCGAGACAACCAGAAGAAAATATTACCGGTACGAGAATGTATTGTCTAAGTCTAAGTTATACTTAGTTGTTTGGAGAACAAAGTCCTCTGATCAACATAATGTGGCTGTCCCGCTGCTCGCGATCTCCTCGTCTTGAGCCCGCCTTCGATTTTTCGCCTTTTCCTTGTGCGGTTCCCATCGTGGTAGTTGTACTAACACTGGCAACTTTTACGAACTGGTGTCATTTTTCTAGGAGTACGTAACTGCCAATAGCAAATCATGGAAAAAGTAGTGAGGGGAACAAAAAAAAAAATTTCGTCCAAATCTTTAGATCCTCTACACGAACTCCTCTTTCGCGTCTATTCTCTTTCTGTGCACACTTTCCTACACGAACCTGGCTGCCATTTATGAAAGATGGGATGATCGGAATAGATTTTGCACACAACCTCCTCTATTAGAATGGAGCGACGGAGGTGAGACAACACTCTTCTGCTAGTGTGAAACTGTGTCCTGTCGTGTGTCTTTTCTCTTCTGTCAGTCGTGCCATGGCTCTTCTTCAGGGTCCACTTCTATGTGGCACATCTACTTTGCCAAGCACAGCGTTGTGTCAGCGTCAATGCGATTCATCTTTTCCCAGAAAACAAACCAAAAACTACGCTCAGACACCTCTTGCACTTCGTGTAAGATTTTCGCGCCTATCCTTAGCAATGAGAGGTCCAGGCCATCTTGCAGACGGTAATAACAGGACACCTCTTGCACTTCTATCTGCCCTGGTGGCAACAATGCACGGTGTGAGTGTGACAGTTCTCACTTTAAAGCGCCAAGTCAGACGGGGCGGAGGAATACTGTCTAGTCTTACTCCCGTTTCCTCAACCGCGCCAGCAGTTGAAATAGATGCAAAACCTTTTTTCTTTCTGCATGTGCAACTATTATCCAGGATGCTCTTTCATCGATCATCAAGAATGTCATCATGTTCAAGAAGCTATGCCTCTGTGGTACCTTCGCACAGAAGCCAGTATACGGAAGCTAAGTACAAAGAAATGTGCTTTTTTGTGTTACTCACTTGCTGCATTTTTGTGTTTCCTCATGCTGAGAGACATCGCTGCTCACCCGGGCATTCGTCGATTCCCATACACGAAGAATCTGTACTATGTATATGGCATATCATATGCAGAAGTCAAACATGACTGTAAATCATCTTGAACCATTCCTGAACAAACATGCTTTTCCTAGATGAAATACAAAAACTGTACAAGAATATGCAAAAATTAACAATATGAGATTTACCTAGGACGTTTCAAAGTCAGTATTTTACGAATTTGCTACTTCGTCTACTATCCGCAGTCACTTACGTACATGCCATGTACTATGAGTATGGATTCCGATATGAGTAAACTTTTGTATCAAGGAGTTACGTCTTTACTTACTGTTCCAACTACGGTGAGTATGCACAAAAATTGAACCGACTAAAAACATGTACTAGTACTGCAAGAACAATTATAGAACTATATTCCCAAAACAGTAAAAGGACTGTGGCGGTCAACTACCTCCTTGCAATAATATGGGTGGAGCCAAACTAACTAGGAAAAGAAAAAGCAATAATGATAGACATAGACTACACTAGGCACTCTAACAACTTATGTACTTTCTAAACTTGCCTTATTTGCATCCTGCCTCTGAGAGCCACTGGTCTACTAGTGGCTGAATCGTGTCGTATTCAGTGTCCGAGCACATGTTGAATTCACGGCAAAAGAGGCAGCAAAACGCTGCGCAAAATCTCACTCTTTTCTCAACTCCCAGTTGCTCCATCTGATGCAAGTGATGTCTGTAGAAGTGGCAATAGCACCGAAAGAACCTTCGGAACTGAGGCACTACCTGTATAGTTTTACGCAGCAAAAGGAAGGTGAAGAAACCTCCTACGTTGTATTCGTGGTGCAGTGCCACTGTGTCACTTGTATCATCATCTTCATGAAGACTTCATATATGGTACAAGAGTGTTCCTAGAGAGAGATGAAAGTTATAAATCAGCCACATGCAGAAGCTGCGTGGATCACTCTCGGTCATGACCTAGAAGATCATTGACTACACAAACTGGAAAAAACGTACCAATTCCCTAAAGCATTCTGGAAATGCACCTTCTGGCGTACTGGGAAAGACGCGAGGATCGCTGATCATCGTCTGTGCCGAATCGAGGACAGCTTTGATGTAGGGCATGAAAGAGGAAGAGGCGGAGTACTTTGACATGATTAACAACACCTTTTGTTACTTGCGACAGGGGAAACAAACTACTTATCACTCTTTATCAGCTGCAGGGGAAACAAACTACTAGTACTTTGTGATTCTTTCTAGAAAGGATTAGGATTAGGATGTGATCCGCCGTCCGAATCGAACGTACTAGCTACAACAAATTCATGCAAACAACATTGAAACAACATCTTCTCTTGTGCCATAAATTTTGGTGCATTCAATTCGATTCCACTCTTGGTGGTTCCATCCTCGAAATTGTCTTGCCACAAGTACGTATGGGCACCAGCCCTCATCACTGGACACGCGGCTTCCGTGCAGCAGCCGTTCATCATAAATGACGAGACCATAGAAGTCTGTAGTTGGGACAGATTGAGATAATTCATGACGCTATGAAGGTGTTACGTGGTCATCCCCTTGCAATATCCCCGCACGACATAGATTCTGATATAACAGGTGAAGAACTAATACCTCCGTCAGTATCTTCACCAATCAAAACAACTTGAAGTACATCCTTCAAAAATATATCTCATAAATTTAGAAGAAGTTAGTACCTCCTTCACATCTGAAATTCAGTAGTCCTATGCAAATATATCTCATAAATTTGGAAGAAGTTAGTACCTCCTTCACATCTGAAATTCAGTAGTCCTATCAAAATATTTATCTTATAAATTCACCAGAAGAAGTACCTCCTTCAATATCTTGACGAAATTATTTGCCAGCCACAGGTTTTCAGAGACTCCGTCTGGTCTGCGCACGCTGAGTATAATATCGTTCATCACGCTGCCTTCGTAGAGTGCGTGCACTTGGGCAGACGGTTCGGATCCCTGCGAGCCGCTACCGAGACTCGGGAATGAAGAACAAAAGCAGGCTTAATCATGTCATGGAACCTCGTTTTACGTCATTCTAACGTTCTAGAGGCCTTTCAGTCACCCTGTACCTTCTTTTTTTGAAGAGCAGAATACGTTTACGTCAACATATTGACAATTATAGTATTTTTACCAACTGAGGACCTGTAGGAGCAGCTAGACGGCCATCTCTAAAGGAGACTCTTTTACCTCCTATGCAGCCATGATCCTACTCTTACCTATGCATCCATGACCCTCCACCAACCTCTTAATAGTAATACTACCCCAAATCTAGAGTACTCGTACCAATTCTACAGTTGCTGGTACCCTGTTCATAAATTTGTCCCGCTCTGAATTGGATGCAGACCGCCTGGGACACCAGTTTCTTTCACCGCGAACCCAAAATCACGTTCTTTCAGCACTTGTCGGCTAACCTGCGCTCCCTGTGTGTCCCATACCAGAGGGATGGGTCCTGTAGAAGCAGATGGGGAAAATCATAGTTTCCAGTACCAGTAGTAAATACTTACGAATGCGGAGGTCTGCAGTCTATTAAAACTTCGAAACAATCCCTGGCTGAAGCCCTTGTTTGGCTATATTGTTATTGGGCGACTAATTCCAGGGAATCCATGCATGAGACTAATCCAGGGAATCCATGCATGAGACTTACAACTTATAGCTAAGTCGTGCAATCACTTTCTGTCAGTGACGACCACTAAGTCAAGAATCGGCCCTTGTTTGGCTATATTGTTATTGGGTGACTAATTCCAACAATCAACTGCCAAAAATAGTACGTTCCTTATCCTTTCTATCCGTTCTCACGTTTGGTTGGAGGAAAGGCTTTCGAATATGGATGTTGTTCTGTGAGACCTCGTGTTCGTTTGAGGTATCATGTGTCGAATCGGTGACGGAAGAAATCGACATCGGGCAACTGCCCATATCCTGATCTCCCGTGTCCATCTTTTTAGTCTTTTTGGTACCTATGAGAGGCACACTTGACTTAGGTTCGACGCAGTTGCGCTTAGGTGGAGATGAAAATTAGATCACTGTCCTAGAAGGATGACATCAACACTGTAAACTGAGACCACGGTGCAAATGTAATCTTACTAGGATTACCTCAACACTATACACTGAGACGGTGCAAATTATACGTATCTATACGCGATAACAAAAGGTTCTTGATACAACCTGAGACACCTGCTACAAATGAGCGTTAGGTTAGAAGAGCAGCTTATATCCATATATACTATTATGCTGGAAAAGACTCAATCTTCGTCCAAACAAAGTAAGTACTATTAGCGCCGGTTGGGGCGAAAAGAAACCAAAAAAAATCTCAAAACATAAAATGAACGGATTCGGGATCTCCTGCTCACACGTCGGCAGATCTTTCGATCAGTGTATGTTGTTGCCACAGATGAGCTACATCTCGGATATTGGTAGGATGTAGTACAACACAGAGCATTCCATTGAGAATAAAAAGACCGACTGATTCCTGGCACCGGATGGCTTGATTCCTTTTCCATCTCTCTCTCTAAAAAACCTTCTCTTGTTCACTCGCAAAAAACTGAAATTCTGACGCACAGAATAGAGGATACTACCGATTCATTGTAGCCGATTTTTTTTCCGAAGAAAAGACTGCTGAAGACGCAAAAAAAGGAATTAGCACTGTTTTGTGCCGTGTTGAACACTCGTATTACCTCGGATTTCTGGATCCATAAAGATCTTGACGGATGAGATAATCCTGTGATCCTGTGTTCCTCACAACTTCATAGGGAATACAATACAATTAATATCGCACTAGGTTCAGCTTCAGTGCAGATCTCTGCATAAAAATAGTTGTGAATGATGTTCTCATGCCCCGTTAGGTGTGGGAAGGTCCTACATCACGCGTCAACTTAGGTTCTTCAGCAGAATGGAACTGACTGCCTGGTCGCTGTTCAAGGGCCTGTAATATGAGCCGCTGGAATAGATTATCCGTTGACGCGTGCGTGCGTCGCGACTCGCGAGCTTGCGGCGGCACTCGAGCGCAGTAGACTTCGCCGCTTCTTCTATCCCCTTGTCTCTGCCGTAGGCGTGGGTCCGAAACTATTCTGAGGCACCCTGTAGGAACAAAGACTCAGATCTGGAGGTACTGAACTTGTGTTCCTACGATGCTCTTGTTCTACAAGCGCAGATGTTGTACTACAAGAAGGTGAGCTTGAGAGACGTTGTGGGGCCTTGCTCGTCTAGAGAGATTGCCGAGTCGCCTACGCTGTTCTATTTTTCGAAAAGTTGCTCTAGAGATCAAGGAAAAGTAGTCAGTCCAGTCCTATCGTCAATAATTCTTCCCATGCATATCTCCTTCACACGTTGAAACTCTGTCCGCATCCACAGGAACTCTTTTTGTTAGGATTGTTGAAGACAAACTCCGACCCCATCTCGACCGCTACATAATCCATCTCTGTTCCCACTAAAAAAAGCACCGCTTTGCCATCCACGATAACACGTCCTGCTTTCCCACTAGAATCCACAAACTCAATAACTTCGTCAAACTTTTTGGGCTCGTCCTTTGTTTTGTAGTTTGTGGTGAATTACAGAGGCACAATTTGATAAGATTATAGACAAAAAAATGATGATGGGGGAAGAAGTTCATTTATTGCTAGGGTAAAAGTTGTACCTCTAAACAGATTCAGCGATCGAGACTTCAATTCAACATCTGGAAATCTAAAAATTGGTCCTCAACGAAAAATGAAAACGAGCAGTAGAGTTGTATACTACTAGGAGTTATGGAGACCCTACTATTAGGAGTTGGATCCTATTGTCTATATCCAAAATACCTTCTGAAAATCCATGACGTAGCTCATTCCACTGCATCCGCGCTGTCGAAGGGATATTCTGATTCCGGTACTTTCTTCGAGGCCCATGAGTTCCGTCACTCTATCTCCTGCCCGCGAGGTTACCGTCATGATCGTCTTCTTCTTGGACGCCGATCCTCCTCCCTTTGCGGCAGGAGCTCCCTTTGAGGCTGCCGCAGAAGTTGCAAACGCTCGGCTCACGGACGATGATGTAAAAGAGCCGTGGTTCATCATCATCAGAGGACTTGAGCCGGCACGAAATGAACCGCTGGAAGTTGTAGATAAACCACGTACTAAGCGAGAGCTATTGAGGTTCTCTGTAGTAAAACTTGAGGAGGCTGACCGACCACTTCCAACGAGTAGAGGCGTCGCCGAAATGCTTCCCCTTGCAAGGAGGGAGGATCGCCCTATTGCGATTGATGCCATTTTTTTGAGGTCGCTAACAAGTACTGAAGGGTAATGGTAATTGATGTCGCACGTCGCTAGAAGATTTGCATACAACGTGATCTTCTTGAAGACGTGACTTCACTACATCAGACCACCCAAAATCACAAGTAGTTGAACTAGTGGGTCGGGAAACTGAAACAACTTAAACTTTTTCTATACGGTTTGCTGGGGGACAAGTAGTGGAAAAAACTATCCGCAACTACGCTTTTGCAAAAAATGGTCACTTCACAAACTTGGGGGATTCGTCATTAAGTGCGTGGGATACACACAAGTTTTACTGTACCAAAAATTTCAAAAAATTCTCCCCACGACCTCAGAAAACAACCCACCTGAAAAAACACAAATATGGGAAAAACACATGTTGTTCATGTGCTACTAGCGAAGCGGCCTTGATCGGTTTTGAAAAACTTAGAGTCTCTCACTCGTCTCTCGTAATTTCGAAAACTTGAGTGCAACATCGAAATCAGGAACCTCTTCTTTCCTCTGAAAAAAACAACAAATAACGCTTGGATCATCAGAATCTCAAAGGATCATTTCTTCTCGTTCAAGGCGAACACTATGCTGTTGCACGGGAAGATAAGCCCAGATTTGTAGAGGTGAAAAGTAACCGGTTCCTTTACTGAGTGCCTTCAGATGTACTTGTTATCACGAGCGCCTAAAATATGAAGATGGCCACTTTTTTCAGAGCTTGCATCATCACGCTTTTCTTAACTCTTCTTTTTGGTTCGCTCTCCCAGAAGCATTAGTTACAGAAGGAATTCACTCAAACCAGTCAAGGCGAACACTATGCTGAAGATACATTCGGTGATATCAATCACCGTAGTACTTCATGCAACTCTGTATACTGAAGATGAAGATCGAGTGGCTTTGCTCGTGCTAGGGTAATCGAAGTTGCTGTTGTGCGTTTCGCCATGAAATTTCTGACTTTTTAATGAGTCAGTAACATTGTTGTCGTCAGCAACATTGTCGTGTATCTTGTTCATTGAATTCGAGTTACTTCACTCGTTATGTCGGGACTTTGAGTTCCTTACCAAGAGTTGTACAATCAACATGTGACGTTCACTTATGTGGGTATTCTTCTTTATTATGTGACGTGGGTCACTGTGGATACAAATAAAAAGTGGGTATTCTTCTTTATTAACCAGCATCAAAAAAATTTTCTTGTTCGTTGCTCAACCTCCTTGCTGCCTCATAGCTGCTAGCATTTTGCGGAGGCCTGTCATAGCTGCTCGTCCTTTGCATACGCGACTATGCCGCTTCACTACCGTAAGATGTAACTGGATGTTGAGTACGTTTGATGTAACCTACTTCCCCAGGGACAATTTAATCTAGCACGTTAGTTGTATCAGTCCATCCTATTTCGTCAAAGAGATGAAGGACAATTCATTATAGGTAAGTATCTATCCTCCATATTACTATTTGAGGTAGTACAACTAAACACAAAAATCGAAAAAAATAAGTACAGCCAGATGATGGCAGCTCGTCGCCGGATTTGTCATCGTCATCGCCCAAACGCGCAGAAGCAACCTTTCGTCGCTTAGCTTTCGGAGTCAGAGCATTCCCATTGTTCTCTTCTACGCTTTCACTGAGTTTGCTGTCTTTGCTTTTCTCCTTCACACTCTCATTGGCTTTACGTTGCTTTCCTTTGCCGCTGCTGCTTTGAGCGCTCATCCTGTCGAGATGATGACTAGCAGCTTTAGCGGTATTGTTGATCTTTGGAGTACTCTTCTTGTTAGCACTGCGACTTCCGAGCGCAGCTGGTGATTTCGGGTCTGCTACAGGGCACAATGCGATCAGCGTCTCCGCGTTCTCTCGATAACCCCTTGCAGGGATCTTTCTTTGTCCGTCGCGAGGTGACGCCGATGGTGGCCTCTTACTTCCACAACTACTACTACTAGACTCCAGAAGATCATTCACATCCTTCTCCTGTACGCCGCTGCTGTGCCCAACCACTCCTCGTGATGCTAAGGGTAGTGCCGGAACATCAGAAGCCTTAGTCCTTTTTTCTACTTCTAGTTGTTGATTAGCATTTTGGGACACAGCACTGGTCTTCTTCTTGCCCTCTTCTACTCCTAGCAATGTATGTCCACTATTCGTACCCGTCTTCTTGCCATGATCTTCAAGCGCTCCTCTTCTTTCTACTTCTAGATGAGCATTTTGGGACACAGCACTGGTCTTCTTCTTGCCTTCTTCCGTTTTCTTATCATCTTCTACTTCTAGCACAAGTCCTTGACCGTTGGGGGAGACGAAGTTCTCGTCTTGGATCGACTGAAAACTGCCATCGGCGTCCTCTACTGCAGCCTCCACTTTGCCCGTCTTTTTGCCGAAGAGTTGTACCTTTTCTGGAGCTGTAGGAGCAGAAGAGTTCTTATTCATCGTGAGGACTTGTTTTTCTCTACTACCTTGCTGGCCTGGTTGACTGGCCTTCCCTTGACTGGCCAGAGACGCAACAACATGCTGTACTAGGGGTTGTGAGTTACTAGCTCCCTGTGAGTGAGAAAAGGCGAACACGCCGCTCATATTGTGTGCACTGCCTTGTCCTAAAGGGCTTAAACCTCGAAACAGACTGCCGCTGCTCGGTTCCTGTGACAAAGTACTTGGCATCGCAAAACCAGCATCCCCAACCACAGGCCCCATCGGGTTTCGGGCGAAGGCACTAGAACTCAAAAGTTTCTGCTTCGTCGCAACATTGCTGGCCTGGAGACTTCTAACGCCTTCTGGCGAGTGTTGTTAGACCTATCGAAAGTTCATCTTTCGGCTTCATCCTCGCAGAAGAGTATCCTTGTTGAAGGAAGTAGGTACTTAGACTCACTCATACTTTTCAGGGATGCCTCGAAAGATGATTTTTCTGAAGGCTTAATGTTGACTTGATACTCCTGGCTTCTGACTTGTTGCACCTTGTTGTAAATGACCATGCATCAGTTGTCGTGGCCGTCCGCCCACCAGTTGCAGTGACCCTTCGTCAGCTCCCTCGCCCTCTTCCTCTTCAATTGCTGCAAGCCGAGGCCCTTTCTCCAGGAGGCCACCAAGCCCTGCTGAAAAGAAACCACCTACGGAACTCGAAACTTTGGAGAAACGAGAACCTTTGGCAGCAGTTCCACTTCCAGTTTCCACGTTTCTCGAAGAAGCCTTCGCGACAGCTGCCTTCTCGAGCTCAGCGGCCTCACGCTCAGCGGCCTCTCTTTGCTCCCTCTGGCGTTCGTGGTTGCGTTTAATTTGCTGACCCCAGTAATCGTGTGGGTCCGGCTCGTGGAGCAGAACGTTGTTCCTTGGTCCTGCTTTGCGGTCCTCAAGATTAGAAGAGCTACCGCTACCGCCCCGCATCTTCCTCCAGATTCATGTCCACCTTGGAGCCTTCTTTTCCAAAAAACTTGAAAAAGAGGATTTATCATTATAAGAACCATGAACCATGTTAAATCAGAAAGAGGAGGCTCTTGCTCGCTTAGAAGTTGCCTTAAGAATATCTTCACAGAAAGAATCCTCTTCGTTGGAGGAGTCCACCATCTCGATAGGGTCTTCTAAATTTTCACTTTCCCAATATCCTTCACCACGCGGAAAGCGTCGAACTTCACCACGTGGATCGTCGTCAAAGAGGTCACCGCGTTCTCGAAGCTCTAGTTTGTCTGCACCTCGTCTTCTTCGCCTTCTTCTCTTCCGCTCATGAACCAGCACTGCTCCTCTCCGAGCATGATCCGCATGCCCACCTAGAAGGTCGTCCTCCGCATCCGCAGCACCTTGGTTACCAGCCGGGGAACCATTCTTGCTTGATCGCAAATCCATATCGTAGTCTTCCAGGTGGTCAACATGATGATCATGCCCTGCTGCGGCTACTCTCTGTTGTGGTGCGGCGTATGCACTTGACAGTAGACCTCCACTCGAGCCGACGCCAAGTTGGAGATCCACACGACCCGACCCACCACCCGAGCCGACGGGCGGCGCCAAGTCGTCATCAGTCGTCGTCATGATCGCAGGTTGATGCTGCAAGTCGGCATAGATGGTTTCATGGTGTTGGGACTCCGCCCATTGCTCGTCCGCCAGTCTGCGTTCTGCTTCTAAGTCTTGACTCTTATTAGAGCCGCTCAAAGCAGTCCACACTTCCATTTCTTTCGCCCTACACTATCTTGCGAATGGGGTTACGAACTAGACCAATATTTCGAACTAGAATGATGTTAATTTCTGCATGTCTTCAGCTTCATCTTCAGAATATTAATCCTAGTTTTGTTATTAGTAGAGGTTGAATTAGAGAAGTTGTCCTAGACCATGTCCAGTACAACGTGTTGTTAGTGAAGTGAGTTGTGGTATCGACGAGTTGAGCCTTAATCTTAGGAAGTCTATGCTCAGGCGAAGCAGCCACGTCGCCGTTGGGCGGCTGCTGGCGATTCACACTAAACGTCGGTTGAAAAACTGATTCCGGTTCATACAGTGGCCCGCTCCAGTCTAATTGGTTAGATGTTCCCTATAACGAGATTTACCTAGGATTTTTCAAAGTCAGCATTTCTATGGAGTAAAAATGTAAATATTCATCTTAGACGAGTGCATCTTGGAGCGTCATGGGCCCCCTTGGATATGCGTCAAAGATGCCTCTCAAGAGGAATTTGTGGAAGCCTTAATTTCGTCAAGCGCAGCATGACAGGCCTTCAGCCTCGCTGCACTTTCCAGAGTCCCTGATGAGATCCCGAAGGACGCGAACGGGTTGAATATGCGAGATTGGTTTCTACCAGGACCAGCGCTAGACGGTGATGAGGCTGCTCCACGTGCACCAAGCACAGACGGTGATGAGGCTGCTCCACGTGCACCAAGCACAGACGATGATGAGGCTGCTCCACGTGCACCAGGCACAGACGATGATGAGGCTACACATCCGGCCCCCGACGATGACGAGGCAGCACCAACGCCAGAGGCCTGACCAACGACAAAAGATGAGGCTGCACCCCCAAGCCCGGACGATGGGGGTGCGCCTCCTCCAAGAACAGACTCACGGGTTCCTCGACGGGGCAGTATGATCGGGGCAGCAGGTACTTTGCCTCTATATGCGGCACAGCGGAGGGTAAGCGCCTCGCGACCGGCATCCTGACCTTGTTGGTCAGTTTTGGCCCAGGGTAAGCGTTTGTGGCCAATCCGTGGTCCGGCACCAGACCTGGTTCAGATTGCAGACTCAGATGAAGCTTAGCAATGTGAGGATTTAGCCGGCAGATGAACTGATGAGTGTGACAAAATTACTAATCGTGTTCTCGAAGTATGAGGAAAGGCTTCTTTTTCCGCGAAAGACGAAATAGCAACTCAAATTGCCTATTTTAGAATTAGAAGGCATCACTATAGTTGCGAATACCCACTGTTGGTACAACATTGACTCGTATTGTTTACAACTCCTCCTCTTCTTGTGATTATAGTGTTGATACCCTTCTATCTAGTACCCAAAGAACGACTCCCCAAGAAATGGCAATCATTCTTAGTTTACCTCACAAATCGACTTCAAACATTTCCAAGTTTCAAAATTATGGTACGTTGCTTTCGCTCCAGCTACTGCACTCGTTTCCTGGCCTCCAAATTCGTCCCTCTGCTCCCCATCATTCTTCGGAGAACCGGTTTTATGGCTCCCCTCCTTGATGCATTTCCCCTTTTTGCCAGAAGATGGCGGCGCCAAACCGTCTGCTGGTCTATCGTTGTAGGATGGAAATAGATCTACCTGCCCTTGATCATCATCGGGTCCACAGAGGTCTACAACCTGTTGGCCACTATTTTTAGAAGCGCCAGCGTCAGCTACTCCTTCGATTCCAACAACTTCTATGTTCTTGTCGACTGCAACATCATGGAGTTCATTCTCGGACCCTAGTACCTCCTGTTGAACCTTTTTATCTACGTGAGTGTGTCGAACAGCAGGCCCCTCGCCAGCGTCTCCACTATTGAGTTGTTCTCCGTCGATTCCAACAGCAGGCCCAGCGCCAGCGTCTCCACTATTGGCAGCTTGCTCCACGATTGGCGGTTGCTCTGACTGTTGTCCAATCTTAGCGATTATCCGACCAGAAGACGGCGAGCGCCTTGTTCCACTTACAGCAGCAGGAGTCTTGTTCTCTGCTGAGCGCGTGACACCTCCTCCGGCACCAGAGGAGGAGGAACTAGCGTGGGTATCTGACACAATGATGCTCATATTAGAACTACAGCAAATCCATCTGCAGCGGCATCTTCGTGCCCGCTTCCTCTTGAGAAACGGAATCAAGATGCCTGGTATTCTAAGAAAATCCTCTTTCACTTTCAAACTTTCCTACTTGAAAAGGCTGAAAGTGAAAGCGCTTTTGTAGATGGTACTTGGCTAGACGTATTTATTGCAGCCTTAACGATAGAAGATGAAGCCGAAGAGCTAGTCAGATGCTGGGTTTCGGGAACGACCGCACTTTGGTTCTGTTGTCCTAGTAGACTCTCCTGTTGTCCTAGTAGATTCTCCTGTTGTCCTAGTAGATTCTCCTGTTGTCCTGGTGCCGCGCTTCCTTGTTGTCCTAGTAGAGTCTCCTGTTGTCCTACTACTATATTTTCCTGTTGTCCTAGTAGATTCTCCTGTTGTCCTACTACTAGCCTTTCCTGTTGTCCTAGTAGATTCTCCTGTTGTCCTACTACTAGCCTTTCCTGTTGTCCTAGTAGGTGCTGGTCTCCTGCTCCGCTTCCTAGTGTTAGAACTAGGAGAATAAATCCATCTTCAGCAGCATCTTGGGCCTGCTTTCCCCTTGAAAAACGGTCTCAGGATGTCTGTGAAGATGCATTTATTGTAGCCTTAATAGTGCAACAACATGTGCCGCCGGGTCCACGACGACAGATGTTTCTTCGCCACGCTGTTCTTCTTGCACCTCCCTAATATCTTCTCCTGTATTGAAGCTTGAGACAATTCGTATTTGGCTTACATATTTGACACATCAACACTTCCCCTTTAAATGTATCAAATATATTGTTGCACGGGATAAACCTAGACTTTTAGAGGTGAAAGCGTGTCAAATATAGTGCACAAATATGAAATGCTTCCAGTCTTGTTAACTTTACTCAACATCTTGTTACCTTCTACACCCTGTCCAGCCTCCGCTGGGGTTGCCTGTATCTGCGACAGATCCCCTGAGCTTGAGCTCACGACCAGAAACGACGAGTCATCTAAAATTGCTGTTTGGGTAATCGGAGGCCGTGGCTGCTCTTGTGGAGGTTGCGGAGGCTCTTGGGGAGGTTGCGGAGGCTCTTGTGGAAGTTGTGCAAGAACCTCTTCCTTCCTACTAGAGGACGAAAGAGCTGCTCCTGCCAATACACGCGGGACTTCGGGTCGTGCAAGCGCAACTTGATTTTTGCTATCTATACCGACATCACTTGTAAGGTGAAGATGACCTGCCCGGAGGCCATCTTCTTCTTTCCGACCACTACTACTAGGAGGTCTTTCGCCGTATGGTGCAGCAACTTGTGGCGCTTTCGGATTATTACTGGATGAAGTCTGCTGCTCCTTCAGGGGACTCACATTTTCGTCATCGGCTCCGACGATGATAATGTCCGAGCGATTCAGGCTGTCGTTGGACTTGTTCTGACTGTCGTTCGACGCGGGCTGTGAGCCCCCTTGTTGCTCATTCCCATAGATGTGCTGGACATGATAGTGATTCACCGTAGTAGTATTAGTAGTAACGTGTTGATTGTACCCGTTAAGCCGGACCAGCCCTTGGATCCCAATGCTCCCTTCTTTGTGTCCCGTCCCGGCAGGACCCGCAGCGGAAGAAGCAGCGCCTTCTTGCGCAGTTGGAACTTGATGCGGTCCTTTTTTGCCTCCGTCCGGTGTTGCCTCCTTGCCGCTTTGACGAGCAGGAGAGGGAGGGAAATTTAGAAGACGCTCATCAATGATCTGCGATAAAGATGCAATAACCTTGCTTCGAACCTCGTGATGTTATATGGCACTTTCGATCAAATACAATTATTATTTATTAGGGCTTGTAATTGAATTAAGGCGTAAAGAGCGCCTCTTTCTGACAGAAGGACAACAAGGACGAGATCCATCAACGAACGAGAGGGCAGGATGAGACAAGAAATGAAGATATGGAACTTAAATAAGAAAAAATGGACAAAAAAGGTCTTGAGAACTACAAGAGACAATGGAACAGGGAGCGAGAGTATGGATGTATTTTTGCGATAAGAATGCAATACTCTTGCTTAGAACTTCTAAAAAGTGCGTACTACCCAAAAAATAATCAAAAAAATAATCTGTAGAATGGCACTTTCGATCAAATATTACAAAGCAACATCCGACTTAACTTCTGTTTCCCTGCTGAGCTATTTGATCTTTCCGATGGGGTTGAAGGGCGACACTTTTCCAGCACCTTCTTTCGAACGGCGGGTGGCATTTGTTCCATTATTGAGCGCCCCTTCTCGGTCGACCAGAACGCCGCAACTTCCTGCGAATCTAGAATGTTCTCCTTGTCATCATGAGCCTCCTCTTCATGAGCCTCCTCGTCATGATCCCCCTCGTCATGCTTTTGGGGATCATCCGCGTCTGACATCTTGCTTTTCTATTGCCTACAGACAACTCACCACAATTTGAATATCTAATTATAATTAGGAACTCACAAATAGGAACCCACCACAATTGGGTACTCACAACGCTCTACTTCATCATATTTTAACTTCTTATAGAGGTGAAAAATATTTAATATGAAACTGCTTGGCGAACAACAGCTGCATGTAATTCAAAGCCTGCAAGCCAACATTCAAGTTGAAAAATCGCCTGTATATTCATTCATGCCCAATCTTCTTCTTCGACGGTTTTTGATTTTTGTTGCACGAAGGGATAAACCTAGGTTAGAATAAGAGGAAAAACAAAGAACCGGTTGTAATTTATATTGTGCTAAAAAAGGTGATTGGTACGAAGATGCCTCTGTCCTCTCAGCACGATGCAAATCGATTCGATTTGATGCGCCGCATCTTCGAGTTGACTCTAAATTAACTTGCGCACTTGCGCCATTCCATTGCCTCCCTAAGGAGCATCTGTGCCAAAATTGAAAATGGTACACATCGATATTACTATAATACACCAAATATGCTGATAGGAAAGCCATCCCATGTCGCGTTGAACCTACCACAACTCATGGGCGATCCATCACGCTAATAATCAATATTGTTGCAGTTGTGCGATACCTGCTTGCGTTTCAGCGGCCTTCATTAATTACAGGAATCGATATTTTGGAAAAAAAGCTCACGTGACAAGAAGCCTCATCTCCCTATCTCCCTTTTCAGTATAGGATGTCACCGTTTCAGTATAGGAAAAACAGCATTCACATCTTCTCTTCTAACTGAAGATGCATGCATGATTAGAAATTGTTGATTGCCGTCTTTCAGTGGACAAATTCGTTCATTACCAGGTGTAATAAATTGGTAATGGTATGAAGGTAAATAAACGAGCAACCATCTTCCACTTCAGGCGCCTCTGAAGGGAATCAGGAGCTCCTCTTCTGCGTATCAGCCCCTTCCTGCTCCCAGTTTTTCACACGCAAGATCGATCCTACTACCTAAGAAGACGTTTTCCCTACAACTTCGCTTTCTTCCTGTCACAGCTAAGGCGACCTCCTGAATGAATGAATTCGCCTAACTAGAGGTGATGCATCATCTTCCTGTCACAGCTTCAAAAAACGTCCCATCGTCACACTTTCAACGCTTTTTGTTTCATTTTTCGATGCTTTTCAATCATGGTTGCCAAATCCATTGCGTCTTGCTCGTTGCGGATCGGGTTCGCCAAAGCAGGATAACAAATGATAGGACGCGACAATTCTGCTTTACTGGCGTTAGGGTCGCTGATATTCGGAAACCGTGGATGCAGTCGTGGTTCTGGAAGCACGCTGTCTTCGAAGAAGGAGGAGGATGAATATGAATCCTGTCTATTGTTCCATCCTGGCAGACCATCACGGCCATCCCCTTCGTCCCCTTATGATCTGGATGGAGATTACAAGTAAAGCTTATCGCTTTTGGTAGCGAACGGAATGGGGCGCACTACGTATAGTCTCAAGGGGAGCCTCGATGGTCTGATCTAGAGGGAAGAAAAAACATCATCCATAATGAACAAGATGGTATGTGCTTTTTATGATTTTTGACGGCAAAAGCAGATTCCGCTGTGCTATCTTTGACGAAGGAGGAAGAGGATGTTGGGCGTCCGTGACGCGTTGTCAGAAGAAAGGATGCTGCTCTAGCTCTGCCGCACGTAATTTTAGAAAAAATTGTGCCGCCTCTAGCACGAAGATGATCCTGATGTGGTCGTCTCGTCTCGTCCGGAACCACTCCACAAGCCGGATAAAGAGAATAGTTCTGCTGGCAATCCGCGGTGGGATTGCTCTCCAGCTGAAGGTGTTTGCTGCCCAGTAGGGGCTGTTCGACAAAGCTGGTTCGAGAAGGCCTCCGAAGCTCTACTTGGAGATGATCGTTCAGGAAGCTCCCCAACATCGAACCTGTTGGCGTAGTAGTTGTGCCATAAACAACCGAGTCCCAGTGCAGAGATGACATATTGACAGCCCTGGTTGTATGCTGCTGTTGCCATCTTTCTATGTGCTTACACGACTTTTTGTTACTCTTGATGTTTTTCGTGCGAACAACAAAACTACATCCACCAGAATGTCTGCTTTTTCAAATGACCTAGTCACTTATAATTCTTGCTTATTCTACAAAATAGAATTGCAGGCGTGTTGCATCGGAAGCGGGCTAACACAAGGGTGATACCGATGTCATCGGGCTGAAACGAGTTTGACACCGATAGAGCTGGGTACACTTCTGCAGAAGATATTCGATTACGAGTACCACTCCAGATAACGCGATCGATTGCAACAAGAGCATTGCTGAACCGAGAAATAAATTTACGTACAGATCGAGCGTGACTGGTAGGCACAAACGATGCAGTACGAGATGCATCTCACTATTAACTCTTCAAGTCTGATGTAAGAGCTCAGTGTGCGATTGATGATTTGAATCTATTCGGCAGCGTGCCTAAGAAGATCCATGTACATTTATATTCTGAAATTGAAACGACCTATTCTTGATTCCCATGTTTTGCCAAAAAGAGTGTCAAAATGAGCCTAGTCTTTAAGTGTTGAGTTCTTGCGAAGTTGAATGCGAAAGTGAAAAATCCAAGTTCTTTCCCCCTAAGTGCGTGATGTGATATGATGCGAAAAAACACGTCGTCTGCGAAGTTGTGACCCCTATCCCTTGCGAATCAAATAATCTAAATCATTAGCTAATATATTCCTTTCAAGAATTATTCCCCAAAATCCGGTTCCGAATTAAGCGGACCTTACTTCCAGCTGGTGAGGTCATCCAGTTTTCCGCTTGGATGTTGAGAATGTGGCACGTCGTGACCCGTTTAATAAAACGCTGCCGCAAAAGCGTGTGCCCTAGAGGCTTTTGGGAGTGTCGATGCAAGTTCGTTGCGTTCGAATGAAAGAGCAGACAGTGAAACTCGGGTGCCTCATATGCAGATAAATCGTCGTCTTCCAGCACTTCTCCTACCAATGCTCCTTCTTCTTCTACCAATGCTCCTTTGTCGTCTACGTCTTGTGCCATCTGAGGAGCTGGCTTTTTCCGGAGTACGGTGACAAAGAAATCCACTAAGAAGCCTTCCAGATCTTTGTTTTCTTCCAAAAGTAAGCGGACATTTCCATTGCTCCACTCTAAGCCTCCATAAGGAATCCTCCTACTGCCAGAAGATATAGTTGTACCCTTGTCACCTTGTTGCGCAGAACTACAGCACCCTAGTTGTTGCAGAACTACAATGCCATCAGAAACAGTAGTGTTAGTGTCCTCTTTTACAATATCGAGCTTGTTCTCGTCAGCTTGCTGCGTCCCGTCAGCGTCAGGATCCTGCTCTTTCAACATATTATCAAGTCGTCCAGTTGTACTATTTTCCTCTCGACCAGAAGGCGTTTCCTTATACTCAGCAAGCTGTATCGATTCGAAGTCTGAAAGAAAAATGGCGCGGATTTGCCTCGCCCATGACTCGTATCCAGGAGTGGAACGTTGTAAGCGAGCTTGCCACTTCCAAAAACGCGATCGAACGTAATTACAATATCGCTCGTACTCTTCGTCATCGGCGAAAAGACCGAAACCGGGCACGGGGAACACGCGATCCAGGACCTCTGTCGTGTCAGAAGACAAAGAGTTCGAGCTTCTTCTTTCATCTGCGTTAGACGGAGTCTGCCCTACACTTACACCTAGACTTATTTCATCTAGAGCCTTTAACCACGGTGTATTCATCCCATCCTCGCTACCACGACAGCCACCACAGTCCGCTGCAAGTCTCAAAAAAGGATACAACAGCGCTGTCCCTTGCATGCGTTCCAAACCTTCAGGTGTCCACATTCGAGGTTGCGGCATTGCATTCTTCCGATCATGATCCTTGACCCCTTTCCTTTTGGAGAAAAGTAAGCCAAGAAGAATGGTAGTGAAGGACGCAATGTGGAAATGCTTAACAACAAGGACACCAATCTTTGCCGAAAAAAATCGTCATGGTCCAGCTTTAGCACAGCTGCTGCCCAAAGCACATCACACAAGTGCCCCGACCACCATTGGTGACAGCGCTCGGCCGCACAAACTTTCCACTGTTCCACAAATCGGCTGGTGGTTCGTACCGAAGAAGTAGAAGTCCTAGTTGTAGTTGTGCTTGGTGCAGGAGAGTCATTTTTATCAGAAGCAGCTCCTTTTCTGTGAGAAGTACTTCTAGTAGAAGACGAATCACTAGTAGACGCATTTCCTTGTTTAATTTCAGTGTCTCCAGCACTGCTGCTACTTGCGGTAGCTGAGGACATGAAAGTCCGCAGCACAGCAGGATCCGCGATGCGGGCAAAACTATGCAAAACACGGGCTAAACTGTAGGTATCCAAGTCCCGCAATTTCCTTAGAACTAAACTGCTATTAAACTGCTACATGTCTCATATCATAATACTGCTATTATCCTACATGTCTCATATCATAATTTCGATTCGAGAGGCTCATCTTTGACGAGTCGTCCTTTTTGATCGCTGCAAAACGGACTTAAATCAACATGATTCTTCTCGTCTCAAGATGAGGATGTGTCAAATTATACGCTATAAGCCTTAATTTCGCATGCAGTTTTGTTTGCAACAAGGACAGCAGCTCTGTGCCGCCCGAGCCGTATTCTGCGAATGCGTAGAGCATGTTCGCTAGGTCCTTTGGCTTTCGAATGTCTGTGATTGTCCGAATACTGCTTAGAGTTGCCTTGTACAAGAATATCTTTCATGTAATTTCTAGTAGAAACTCTTTGAAATTTAAGTAGATGTTCCAAGAGTAGATGTTCCAAAAGATAAAGATGGGTTGTAGTCGACGTCGTTGTCCGTAAAATGCGATGTTGGGACCGCTCGAAAAATTCCTCCAGTAAAGCACTAGCCTCCGGAGACAGCCGGTAGGGAGCACGCTTCACTTGATGCTTTCTAATACGCAGTGTTGCGGGAATGCTCATCGCCTCTTCCACACGATGCATACTCCCGAAATCCAGACTGGCGCGATACATCTTCGCGAAGCCGACCAAAATTACGCCTAAATGCGTTGGCGAGCAGCGGGTAAGATTTATCGGCAACAAAGCCTGTGGTAAAAGCAGGTGTTCGAACAATGACGCACGCATCGGAACCCCCAATTTTGTATACGCATGGCACAAACCTGCGATTTCTGTGCAGCTGAGCAAGTTGCGCGTGCCATCCAAAGGATCTGGAATGGGGCACACATGAGCTGGCGAGAGTGAGCCAGGACTTTTCGAAGAAGCAGTTGAAGCGTCTCCAGTTGCATTCGTATTTTTGTCCTCCATCCCTTGGCAAGGCTGAGTTTGATCTTCATCCTTTATATCTTGCTCTTCTTTTTCCTGCGCCGGCACTGGTTCTGCAGACGCTCGTGTGGTCAATTGCTTATTCCTAACCAAAAGGTGCGGCACCAATTTTTCATCCTCGATAAGTCGGAGTAGCTGAATGCGCATGCCAATCGCGTGTTGCTTTGGGGATTCTTCCTTGTCCCAAGATGCTAAGGCCTCCAAAAACTGCACCATCTGATAGAAAGGAACTGGCGCTATCCGTCTAGTGCTCGATAAGGATCTCTTGAAGGAAACTTGGAGGTTCTCTTGTTTCTTCGTAGAAGAATCCGCGTCACCCACACGAGAAGATAGAGATGAGTCTTCTCTTATTGTAGAATCCATTCCCGACTGAGATGACATGATATCTCTCATTGATGTAGACGAAAAAGCAACTGCATCTGGTATTTGCGAAGATGTTGCTCCTCCTGTCGACTTTGATGTTACCTCTGTTGACGGGACAACTACATCGGAGGTTCTTGAGGGGCCGCCAACAACATGAACTACATCATTCAGAAAATATTCTTCACAAAAGAGTTTGATCAGTTGACAGGAGTCCCGCTTTTTCTCCGTTACACGTGGCCACAAAGCGAAGGCGTCCGCGATATGTAGTACATCGTTTGGCGAAAACATAGATCCAAACACGCGCACAAGAGCTTCGTCTTCACTTTCTCCACGTGATTCAATCCGTTGGTCGCCAAAAATTTCTCTGTCTACTGCTGTTTCGGATGCTGCTGTTTCAGCGTATGAAGAAGCTGTGTTTCGTTCCAGCCCTTGCGATTCCTCCTCTTGTTTCTGTGCCAGCATTGGCGACTCGACGATCTCCCACTCTTCCGCTGCTGGAGCATCTAATTGTCTTGTTGCGCTTCGAAGCCCACCATGAAGAAGGAAAATGACTACTAGTACCTGACGTTCAAAACAAACTACCTAGTGAGAAAAAAAATATTGAATCAACTTCTCAGTGTGAAAGAGTATAAACTCCGTTTACGAAATAAATCCCCGTGGTGCTAACTAACGCGTGGTGAAGTGCTCATGATTTTTCTGTCGTAAAATTTATGGTGTCCCTCTCCTCCATTTCCTGCCGCGAGGTCTGCCTTCACCCATCTCAGCAGATGAGGGAGAACATTCGCTAGTGCGATCTTCGGCATGTACGGCGAACGAGCGAAGACACGGATGTAGGAAACAAGTAATGCACGCGGTTCACTCTCCCACTCATGACTCGCCAAGCGATGAACGATGGTTCCCAAAAACGGCTGGCTCCCCACACGGCACGAAACATACGCGTCTGAGATGTCTACTACCTCTTTGGCTCCGTACCCAGGAATGTGAGAACGTAGAAACGGTTCCAACGACTTGAGAAGCCCAAAGTCGTTGAGACAATGGGCCACTTGTGCCGTTCGTGATTAGAGCTACGCTACCGCGTTGCAACCTCTCTCCCTGGGGGCAACATCCTTCACTCCGTTCTCAAGTAGAAAACCTGGGGGCAACATCCTTCACTCCGTTTTCAAGTAGAAAAAGAAGCCTTTCCTTGGCTCCGTTTTCAAGTAGAAAAAGAAGCCTTTCCAAGGATCAGACCTACTTGATAGCAACATCCTTCACTCCGTTTTCAAGTAGAAAAAGAAGCCTTTCCAAAAAGGCCTACTTGATAACTCAGGAGACATGCTGCAGCGGTAGCCTTAACGTAAAAGTTCAGCCGGCGCGAACTGGTCCAGCTTCCTTACTATTTCCATCAAAAGCGGTAGCGCGTCCTTCTGCATTTGGTTCCGGCGAAGTGGAGCACCCCCACGACGTTTCAAGTCAGGCCGCATGGGAAATGGTCTCGAAGATGCTGATTTCAAGCTCGGAGAAACCTTTTCTAAGCAATGAAGCAGCGCGCCGGGATAAAAGCGCTGGCGATTCGTGGTAAAGATTAGACGTCGACAAAATACAGTGTATCTTTACTTCGGGTCGAGCTCAACACAATAGTTCATCATCTACGCAGTCATTCACATTTTTCTCAGCATATACTTGGAGTCATATGCTCTTCAGCAATCATTCATATTTTTCTCAGCATATACTTGGAGTCATATGTTCCTCAGCAATCATTCATATACTTGGAGTCATATTTTCCTCATGATATACTTGGGATCATGTTCCTATACTTGGAGTCAAATTTTCCTCAACAATCATTCATGATATAGATCATATTCATGTCTCTCAGCACTCTCCCAAGTAGGAGGAATGAAGAAAAAGACGGAAGAAAAAGAGCCTTTCAAGGTTGAAAAATCTATCACGGTATAAAGAAGATCTCCTAGTTGTTCCCGCCATGTCCTCGCCTTAAAAAGAAGTTCACCAAGGCACTACGCGGAAAAACTTCGTCAATCTCGTCCAGCAAAGTTCTTCTTCCTCCTTTAGAAGTGGTAGAAGATGATGACGCGCTACTTTTGCTGTAACTGTTGTTGCTAGTCCTAGTAGTATTCGTGTTCTCCCAAGTGCTGACACTTTTCTCGAGAGTCCTAACTGTCTCCGCGCTGCTAGCACTCTTCTCCAAAGCGGTGCTGGAATTAATGGTCTCCGCGGATAGTCGTTCTACGCGTTCTGGTGTTGAATATATTTTCGCCGCATGATTAGTACTGTTGTGAAGACTGCTCCCTGAAGGAGGTTGTACTAGGTTGTTTGGAAAGCTGGTGTAACCCTTACTGGAAGAAGCCGAACACCCAAAGTTCTTGCTTTGGTCGTGCCCACTGTGGAAAGATCTATTTTGTCTCGCAGAAGTGCTGGCATTCGAGTCACCGACAGCTTGCTGCGGTTGTTCCTCTGCCCTAACCTTTTTCAATTGTGAAGAAGTCTGGATGAACGGCGTAGCATTTTGTTGCGGTGCAGACGTCTCGAAAGGCCCGCTTTCGTCAGACGCCAAATGCAACAGGCTTCCTTGGTGAGCTCCCGCGCGCCTGAGCGCCCGCCGCGAGCACCCTGCTGTAGTGGAACGTAGAGCCATTGTTCTATTTCAAACCTGATCCTTCACCCAGTCAACATGGCTACTTCTTAAGTGCAAGCTTTTACCGTCTTTACGAAACTTCGATCATCATCGAGCGAACTGCAACCCAAGCAACACGTGTTGATGCTGTTATCTTTTACAATTCTTATACCCAAGTTTTACAATTCCTATGAGCCTTCAGGATCGAGTGAGCCATGGAAAATCATGTTCCGTCTATGTATTTTACGGGAAAGTTCCGTGCCTATCAGGATCATTGTTCAGTCCGTCGCTGGAATGCGATAAGACTGTCGAAAAAAATGCCTGGTGACAACAGCATCGGCGGGACAAAGAACACCTTGGGAGGATGAAGCCATGTTTGGCCTTTAGCGGAAAAACTCGACACCTGTGTAGTTTTTTTTTACCCGATAGAGACGGCCTCCTGCTCTGAGAGGGCCTGAGCTATTGTTCTCCGTGTAGCAGTTCGTTGGAACGGCGGCTCAGGAAAGCCGACGCAAGTGAAAGCACAGCGATGAGGAATCCCGTCCCGAGAAAGAGAAGACCGTACTCGGAGACTTGGGGACCGTGGATCGATCGCCGCCCGCGCGCTTCCGTCGGGGGGGGGTGAGCACCAATCCCCGGCCCCGGAGAGGCACCCGAGGAGCCAGTGGAAGCCCCGGCACGCGCCCCCATGCCGGGTGCCTGTCGCAGCGTGTAGCGCGGTCCCGCCCTCCTCGCCGCCACCTGTTGAGCCGAGCCGCCCCCTCTTGGAGCCGGCGCCGGGGCGCGTTCAGGCGGGGGCTTCCTGGCGGCGCCACCGCTGACCGTACCACCGCGGGAAAGTATGCCCGGGCGGCGACAGAGGCGGCCCGTAAGCGATGCTGGCAGAGGGCACCGGAGTGGCCCAAGCTGCGCCACCATGCTTCTTCTAGCCCACAAAGCCTACCGGAGCTGGTGCGCGCGCAGTTAAAGGCCCGCCCGTGCCCGCGCGGAGGCGGCCCGCGAGTGTGCCACTGGAGAAACATGGGAGAATAGGCGCCCACTTGGAAACAAATGGGCGAACACCTTAAGGACGGGGCCGCCCTCTATAGGGGCCCACGGGAAACTAATGGAGAGAAGGCGCTGCCCCTTTGTAACTGTCTCGAGATTGGCATGGGATTCCCACTAGGTTCCGCCGGTTCCTTTCCCTACTGAGAACGCAGCCCAGACCAGCGCAAGCCACGCAGTAGACCCCGCAGCGTTCACGCTTGCGCGCGAAGCTGATGCCTGGAACCAACCTGGCCCCCGCCATTAGATGGCGCGCAGTCCTCGCAATACGCTCAAAAGTGCGACTCTCTTCGAGTTGGGAAGGTGTCCCCTTAGGTGATCGTCGTCCTTCCAAGCCTTGACTGTCCGCGGTCGTGCGCCTGTTTGTTTGCCTCTCGCGAAGCTGATGCCTGAGGCCTTGCCCCCGCCATTAGATGGCGCGCAGTCCTCGGAATTTGCTCAAAAGTGCGACCCTCTTCGAGTTGGGAAGGCATCCCCCTTAACAAGTCCCCTCCCTTCGAAGCCTGGACTGTCCGCGATCGCGCGCTCGTTTGTTTGCCGGTCGCGAAGCTGATGCCTGAGGCCTTGCCCCCGCCATGAGGTGGCGCGCAGTCCTCGCAATTCGCTTGGGAGTGCGACTCCCTTCGAGTCGGGAGGGTGGTCCTCTTAGATAGTCGCCTCTTTTCGAAGCCTTGACCGTTCGCGCCCGTGCGCTCGTTTGTTTGCCTGTTGCAAGGCTGGCGCCTGCAGCCTTGTCGCCGCCATTATAGATGGCGCACAGTCCTCGCAATTCGCTGAAAAGTGCGAACTCCTTCGAGTTAGGAAGGCCTTAGATAGTCGCTCCGTTTCGAAGCCTCGACCGCCCGCAGCCGTGCGCGCGTTTGTTTGCCTGTCGCTAAACTGGTGCCCGAGGCCTTGCTTCCGCCATTAGATGGCGCGCAGTCCTCGCGAGTGGCTATAGAGTGCAACTTTCTTCGAGTTAGGAACGTGATTTGCTTACGAAGCCGTGGCTGTCGGGTCGCCTGTCCGCGATGAGTCGACGGCCGACGCGCTGCGTGGAGCTGCCTGGCAGCCGGCCCGCGATAAGTTGGCAACAGACGCGCAGGGCAGAGCTGCCCAGCAGCTGGCCCGCGATAAGTCGATAAGAGACGCGCGGCGCAGAGCTGCCCAGCAGGCGGCCCGCGATGAGTCGATAACTGACGCGCAGCGCAGGGCTGCCTAGCGCCCGGCCCGTGATAAGTCGGCAGCAGACGCGTGGCACAGGGCTGCCTAGCAGGACCAGCAACAGGCACCAGCGTCGCGGCTGGTGCCATGATTGGATCTCGAGCACGCTGCCCCTGGCATGCCGGAGGGAGAACACCGGCGCAACGTGGAGAGCGCCGATGATGCGTTACTTCTTGCCTGAAAAGTGATACTTTGGGCCCAAACTGCCCAACCGGGCTCCAGGTCGTGCCTTTCTCGCCATCAAGTGGCCTACTATGGCTGTTCAGCGATTTTCTTTTATTATACAATAGCAGGCCAGCAGCCACTTTTCTTGTTCAAGTGCACAGGTGTAACGTCCTCACTGTGTTTTGCAGATCCGACCAAAAGCGCCAAAGGTCTTTGCCTGTCCAAGCTGTTCCGGGTTATCGGTCCCTAATGGAAATAGTTTCTCTTGACACCGACAAAACTTCTCTCCTGGGTCTTCGGTTTGAGTTAGCCAGTTTTGCTCTGGGCTGCTGCTGGATGCCCTTCTCTCGGGTATCAGCTTCCCTACTGCTTAAGGAGAATAGAGGTGAGAAAGTAGCAACTTTTTATAAGGTCAGCAGTTTTCAACTTTTGTGCTGCAACACCCGAACACGTCCAGGCGCACTATGAGGCTCTTGAGAGCAAATGGAATCAATATCGTTGCAATGTAACAGAAAGACGAGCAGAACGGACGCGCCGAATGATCAATGACTGCCTAAGGCCCTGAAATGGTATCAAAATGGGTCCAGTGTCATTGGGATATCATGAAGGGCCACGGTGCAGCTAAAGACCTGGGACGAGCGTAGTGCTTCACTCACTAAAGGCTAAAGACCTGGGGGATCTTGCTGCCCCTTCATGTTGGACCTCATTGAGTTCCAACGATGATCACACAAGGAACGAACAAGAGCCCAAGACAAGGAACGGCGTCGATCATGATCAAGGAGACGAGTGGGGGCAGCCATTTGGCATTGGAATCAGGTTCATCCATTGGATCTTGGGCTAGTAATGACCATCGGCCAACATTTTGTGACTTTCCTGAAAATTTATAATTTTGCCTATACTTTCAAAGCTATAAGGCACTAGCTGGTATATCAGGCATTGAGATTGCATCTCATCCATGAAATTCAATAAATTCATCAATTTTCGGAGGATTTTAAATTTTTTTCAAATTTTTTTATTTTTTCAAATCAATTAAAATTTTAATATGTTGTACATCGATTATAGTAGAGGTGAGCACTGTTTTCAATGAATTCACATTCGATAGCCTATTTCACACCCTCGCCCGGCGTTTAAGCTTCTGGCGCGACTAGATTCCCGCGCCAGACTGTGGGTTTCTGTTTTTTGCCCGTTTTTTAATTTTCTCGATTTGTTAGCATTTTTTTAAAATTCTGCAGGCGCTTCGCTTCAAATTGGTGAGAGTTTGGAGCGTCTCCAAACTGATCCAGACGCCTCTCATAAATGGAAAAATGTGGTTTTTTCATTTTTTTAACTTGCTACCATTTTTGGTCCCGTCTGCTGGGGTTTCCGTTCATTTTGGCAAAAGTTTGGAGGCTCTCCAAACTGATCCATTCCCCNATGGGCGAACACCCCAAAGAGGGAACCCCATGCCACGTCGTCCCTGGCTGCCTACGGCCCATGCGACACGTGCTAGAGAATAAGAAAAAAGGAAACGCCGCCGGATGCGCCAGCCTCTTGGGAGAATATGAGGGAGCGAAACCGATAAGGAGAGCCGGGAAACCCGCGCGGGGATTTTTTCCGGAGACGTTGCGGCGGTCTCTTTCTTTTCGTTCTTTGTCTTGTTAACATTCGAGGGCATTCGAATACTTTGCAAATATTTAAAAACATTCGGAGAATATTTACCCCTGTCGACCCAATAAGATCCCAGAAAAACTGAGCCAATTGGCTCTCATTTTTAGAGCCGGGGCGCGTCAACCTCAAGGACGAGCAAAGCCGACGAGTACCCTGCTTCGCTGCTTCTTCGGATCTCGAGCGACAAGCGCGCTCATGCATGACGATGCCGCTCCGGCCGAAAAAATTGCCACAGCTTTCGCATTCAATCATCACGCAAACGAGCTCCTTCGCCTTTTTCTTATTCTCTCCCGGCATCTTATACGAGTCTGCTTCTTATCAATATAGAAACTTCCTTACCTTGCTATAGACCTAAAGGCTAGCTATTACTTAAACACTAAAAAGCTAACGGGAAACTATGCGGCTGGTATACCTGTAGTAGTACGGACGGGATTTGTTTTGATCATCACTCCAGGAGCATGGTGACGAACAACGCGAGAATCCTGAGCCATCAACTTACGTTTTTCAGCAATTTTGCTCGCCATCAGGCGCGACTTCTTATCGAGATCAACAATATCCGCCTGATGCTTCACCTTCTCCTTGTGCTCCTTCAGCAGTTCTTCATCCTTGGTTTTTTCCCTCTTGGGCTTGGCAACTTTCCAGCATCCAGCCGCAATCAAGATCTTCAAGATTAGAAGAGTAACCCGAGTGGAAGCAGAGAAGAGCTCGCGGGAGCGCTCTATGATGAACACGCTGCCGCGAGATCTTATCTCCTTCCGTTTCAAGCCTTAACTTTGCTTCTTCCATAGCCAGAAGCTTCTCGCGTGCCTGCTCAGAATCTTCGTCCATCACACATTCGAAATAGATCTGCGAACTCGTTTTTTTCTTCTTCTTCGGTGTTTCTTCTTGTTCCCCTTCTGCCT